TAGTGTTTTAGCGCGTTGGAATCAGTGGACTGCAGTTCCATCAAATCAGATTTTCATGGGATTACCCGCGGCGCCTGAAGCTGCGAGTGGTGGATATATGCCACCAGATGTGCTCATTAATCAGGTTCTTCCAACTATCAAGAATTCTCCCAAGTATGGAGGAATCATGATATGGAACAAATTCTATGATCAGAGCTATAGTTCAACTATTGTGGGCAGTGTCTAAATTCTATCTGCCTTCTCCCCAGATCCTGAATAAATCCTACTAAATAAATCCTGGCTTGTAAACCCTATGAATGATAGAAATATAAATGTCATGAAAACCACTTATTACAAATAAAAACTTCTGTTACATCTATTCTCAATATCCATGGAAATGTTGCCTTAATAAAAGTGCATCTTGATGTCAACATAGCCATAAAATGTGTGTTCGGTGCGATGAATGAGATTTTAGAGGTTTTTTTTCTTCCTTTAATTATGTCTAATAATTTATAGATAAATGAATCGTAACATATTATTCTTGCAAATACAAACAATGGATAGCTTTCTCTTGTAGGATGACATTATTGACTACACAAAAGATCGAAAATATTTCATAGTATTGTTTAGAAAATACTTAGAGATCGCGTTATGAGAACCTTAATTCAACGGTCATTTCCTTAACGTATTTGAAGAAAATGGAGAAGACCCCCAACCCTAATCCTACCCTACCCCACCTCCACCCCTTCTTTCAACATTATTTAATTTTCGGGTACAAACAAGATATCAATTGGGCAGTTCCTTTCTCATGTTGACCATAGACTTTACAGCAGTTTGAACTCACTAATTACAAGGCAGCATGGACCTCCCTAAGGTAGGTCCAAGAATTACGGCTATTTTTGTAACTTCGGATATGCACGAAATAATTCTACATTGACTTTTGGTCAATATAATTTTGTATTTATCAATAAAAAAGAAAGGAATTACGTCTACTCTCTTCGCCCTACAAATACATAGCAGAGGGACTTTTCTCATAACTTATTTTTGTGACTGTTGATACCCATTATTGTTACCTCGATAAATTTGCAGAATCATATCAAATTTGTACATCGTCTACTATTATTTATATCTATAACATTTTTAAACGTAAATCACATTATATTGTACTCTCCACTGAAGTACTTCAAATTTTCTCAACCAAAAGGGTAAGGAGTTCTCCCACAAATAGACGCTTTAATGCTCACTCGGTACTTGAACATTCGATCCCTCGGATTCGTTGTTTGTCATCTCAAACTATCAAATTGTGAATAACGATCTGAACAGAATGACAAAATGGTATGTCATAGATAATACAAGCTTTGTGATTTTAGATATGTTAATAGATCTAGGAATCAAATGAGCGGGATTGAAAAATGATTTATGGAGTCAATATAAATAAATAATATTTGTTTTGAATTTATAGGAAAAAAGAAAATGTAAACCGTACCATTCCCTCAAGAATTCTATAAAAATAAAAACACAAAAGCAAACGCCATTGAAAACCAAAATGGCGAGAAAATATCATTTCATCTCTCTATTCCTCTTCATCTTATTCCAAGCTGTTTTTGACCTCCTGATCCTTTGAAAATTCATAAGTGAATAGAATCGTAAACAAGTAATAAAGTAGTGAATAGAGTGTCGAATCCACGAGTACTATGTGTTTGATCGAATTAAGATTAATTGCAATTTCAATCGAATAGCAAACAAATTTTGTGATTTTTTTATATTAATCCCTAAATTATCAATAAAAATAATGAAAATAAGTAAATGTATTTTTCAAATATATGATATGCATTGCTAAGATGTTGAATCTCACTTGTTATTACATTTTTAGTGTAACAATTAAAGTGACAATTTGAAATCATTTATGTTGATCAATATTCCTAATTTAATTGAAAGTCTCTTTCGATAGCGATCAAATATATTCCCCTCATGTGACTCTTTTATCTATCGACGAAAGATGCAAATATGATAAATACATCAACAAGTACTAAAACACCTATTGAATCCATATAAAGTATAGAGATATATATTTATCCTCTACCAAACCTTATAATGTTTATTATATTGTGCTTAAACTCTATTGTCTCTATCGATAACAATAAATTTACTAACAATTCAATTGGTGATCAAACAATTGAAAAGAAAGATAAAAACTATAATAAACATCCACAAATTAAATTCAAAATAATTAATTAAAATCCAAAAATATCATAACAATGGTTCATCTCATTCTAGCAATGTATAAAATTAGTATAACATATTGAAAATACAAGAAAACATATTTAAGTGCAAAGATATAATCCAAATTTTTTATAAATTGAAAAGATGAAGATGAATCTTGAAATCTTGAATTTCTTCAATGGTTTCTTGATGAATCTCTACTTGCGACTTCCCTTTTTTATCCAAAAATCAAGTTTGAATCTTCACTTGATTGAATTATTCCAAATCACCTTCAATTCTCTTACAGAAATTATGAATTCTTCTAATTTGATATAATAATTGATGAGTATTAGAGTATGAGATGTATATCAAATGTCTCTAATATGTATTCCGTTGTTAGGTATTTGGAATAGAAAATTGGTTAAAAATCGTGTCCAAATTGGTTTTCAAAATAGTTCCAATCGAACAAGTGCAGTGGAACGAATCACCAAAAATTGACGAAATGTAAGGTTTATATTTATGCCGCCTCCTTTCCCGCCCGTGTGTATCCGTGTATATATAACTTCTTTTTTTCTCTTTCCTTTCTTTCTTCCCTTCTTTTTCTCTCTCTCTCTTCCCTCTTTTTTTCTTTTCTTTTCTTTCTTTCTTTCTCTGGCGCTCTCTGCGTTTTTTCTTCATCTTTCCTTCAGCATCCGTTTTCTTTGACTTTTCTTTTGTGCCCTTTTCTTTTCCAATAAACCTACAGGTACATGCGTTTTTTTTTTACAGAATTTGAACATAGTGCTGACGTGGTAGCACCTTATTAGCTTTTTTTTATTATTTTTTTGTTCTTCCAATGAAAACCTTCCAAGTGTATTTTCTGTTGATTTTTCTGTACCTGTAGTGCTGTTCTTTTTTTTCTTTTTCTCGTGCGTCTCTCCTCTCCTTGTTTCTCTTTTTGTGTGTGTGTGTGTGTGTGTCACACATTTCAGCCACATTAAGATCCAATTAAAATTTGTGGAAATTATACAAAATCAGAGTTTTCAAGATTCATTTTCAAATTTCAGATATAAGGTTTCACTTTTAACTTAATTAGATATTTCAGTTTTAATTATTAAATATTAATTATACAATTTTCATCCCAAATCGACAAACCCTAGAATTTCCCTCTTCCTTCTCTCTTCTCTCCATCTCTTCTCTCTTCTCTTCTTTTCTCACTCTCTCATCCTTTTCACCCGCGGAAGTGGCATCGAGGCGAACTGAGTGTCATTGTGCACAGCGCCAGATCGCTGCTACCGTGAGAACTGTGGCTCACAGTAGCGCTTAGTGGTTCAAATCACCACTGTGGGTTTTAGTTCGAATGTTGATTGGATTTTTATGGGTTTGGATTGGAAATGGGCATAGATTTGAGTTTGGGTTGGTTTGGATTTCTAAATATGTATTTGTATATATACGGTGAGATTAATTTCTTCTCAAATTTCCCTATTTTTTGGTGAACCTTTTTGTGAAAATATCGTAAAGCAGCACACACATACGCAGATTATCTCCGCGCTTCTCTCCCATGGTTTCAATTTCTTAATCCCTAAACCTCTTAGCCTTTTTTTTACACAAAACTCATAATGAACGCCTCAATTATTGGTAATTCTTTCTGTTCTTTTTTTTCCCCGGCACAAAAGCACGTCATTCGCAGTTGTTTACCTTTTTTTTCGGTGGTGGCTGATGGCGACGATGACAGGGGTGGCTGTGATGATTTTTGTTAGCAGTATATTGGATCTAGTGGTGGTGGCTTTGTTGGCGGTGTTGTTGTGGTAGTGGCGATGGTGAGATAATGTCTGTGATCAATTATTTGGTTCATTGTGAATAACTATTAAAATGTGACCTTAAAATTCGATAATGTGTGACGAAGAATTAGTGTGTGACCTAAAAAATTATTAATATGTGATCGATAATTTAATAATTTGTGACTGTCTAATAAGTTGTGACTTATAATATTTGTGATTTGTGATCGATAAATAAATTGCGATGTATAAATTTTTTATTTGTGATCGATAAACAAATTGTGACCTATAAAATTTTTGAATTGTAACCGTAAAATAATTTGTAACGTATAAAATTTGTGATTTGTAACCAATGAATAACCGATAAATAAATTGTGACATATAAATTTTTAATTTGTGATCGATGAACAAATTGTGACTGTAAAATAATTTATGACATATAAAAAATGTGATTTGTGATGAATTAATAATATGTGACCAATTATATGGCATTTGTGACCAAATTATATGGAATTGTGATGTTCATATATTTATTAATAAATTATATATTTAATTAATTAATTTATAAATAAAATTGGAAACGTTTAGTGCATGTACATTAAATAAGTTAAAATCTCATGTACATTAATGTCAAAAGTCTCGGCAATTACTGCTTAACATAGAAGAGCAAAAGGATTAATGGACGTATTTGTCCTTCAAAAAAACAATCTTTTCTGGAAGACACTGATTTTCCTTTCTACTTATTCGTCGCTTTTGAAAAGCTTTCAATATGCCGTGACTCGACAGTGAAAATTCATTTGAGATTGGTGTTCCAATACTACTTCTCCACGTAAGTATTAACCCGATACACGCATGTAATTTTTTTGAGTTTTGCTAACAAAACAGGATCAGATTAAAAACATGTGTTTTTCATTGATTGAACAGTTTTTTAAAAAATTATCCAAACAGGTGGTGATTTCCCCCTTTCACCCCGGGTTTTTCCACAAATCATTGTACTTGCATCCATCTATAAATTAATCTCCTGCGAAATTTAGATAAACATCGAGACATTACATCAGAAAAATGGCAAGCTATTTGCAAATTTCATTTCTGATATTCACAATCTTGATTGCTTCCTTCTTCAGTTCCTCACAGTCACAGGGAGGTGGAATCGCTGTGTACTGGGGCCAAAATGGCGGTGAAGGGACTTTAGCCGCCGCGTGCGCCACTGGGTTCTACCAATATGTGAATATCGCTTTCTTAATAACCTTTGGCAACGGCCAAACCCCAGTTCTGAATTTGGCTGGCCACTGTGATCCACCCTCTGGAACTTGCACCAGTATAAGCAATGACATAAGGGCTTGTCAAAATCAAGGCATAAAAGTCCTCCTCTCTCTTGGTGGTGGAGTCGGAAGCTACACGCTTTCGTCCGCTGCTGATGCACAAGAAGTCGCGGATTACCTTTGGAACACCTACTTAGGTGGCCAGTCGAGTTCACGTCCCCTCGGAGATGCAGTTTTGGATGGTATAGACTTTGACATTGAAGGCGGTACAGTCCTGTTCTGGGACGACCTAGCTAGGGCGCTCTCGCGTTACAGCAGCTCACAAAGAAAGGTTTACTTATCTGCAGCACCACAATGTCCTATCCCAGATGCTTATCTAGACACCGCGATCCAAACTGGGCTCTTCGACTACGTTTGGATACAGTTTTACAACAACCCGCCGTGTGATTACCGAGGCGGCGTGGATAGTGTTTTAGCGAGTTGGAATCGGTGGACTGCAGTTCCATCAAATCAGATTTTCATGGGATTACCCGCGGCGCCTGCAGCTGCGGGTGGTGGATATATGCCACCAGATGTGCTCATTAATCAGGTTCTTCCAGTTATCAAGAATTCTCCCAAGTATGGAGGAATCATGTTATGGAGCAGATTCTATGATACGAACTTTAGTTCAATTGTAGTGGATAGTGTCTCAAGTTCTATCCGCCTTCTCCCCAGGATCCCGAATAAATCCTACTAAATAAATCCTGGCTTGTTTATCCTATGAATATTTGAAATAAAAATGTGATGAAAATCACTTACTACAAATAAAAACTTTTGTTACATCTATTCTCAATATCCATGGAAATGTTGCCTGCAAAAAAATTGCATTGATGTCTACGGAGCCATAAGATGTGTGTTTGGTACAACAAATAAGAACTTAAGTTTTTTTTTTTTTTTTCCTTTTAATTATGTCTAATAATTTATAGATAAACTAAAGGTAGGACGACATTAGTGAGTACACACAAGATTGAACATATTTCATAGTATTGTAAAGAAAATGTATTTTTTTTCATAGTATTGTACTTGAGAACGTTTTTTGAGAACCTTAATTCAAGGTTCATTCCCTTAAAAGTATTTGAAGAAAATGGAGAAGACCCCCAATACATAGCAGAGGAACTTTTCTGATAACGTATTTTGTGACGGTTAATACCTATTATTGATGTCGTCGATAAATTTATAGAATCATATCGAATTTGTTTAATTCTACAAATTTAAATAGTCTACTATTATCAATATTTAAAGCATTTTTATACATAGAATCATATTACATTGTACTTTCCACTTAAGTACTTCAGATTTATGTTAAGGAGTTCTAACCCAAATATATGTATGTTCTTGTGAGAAATTTGAAATCATATGCCAGTACACTTCTGGGAATACAGATAATTTGAAGAATTCTTGGGATCGTTGGACTACGTCAGTTAATGCTGGGAAGATGTCTACCGGCTGCGCCACATGCCGCTGGAAGTGGGTTCATTCCGTCCGAGGTTCTGAAGTCGGAGAATCTTCCGGTGATAAGGAAATCGAACAAGATTGATTTTGACTCTTTCATTTGTCTGAAGTCAAGAGGCTAAAATATTCTGGTTTGTTATTTGGGGAAGTAATTGTCTCGGGACTGAAACGTATTATTGTATTATTTGTACGGGTTTCTTATGCAGTATTATTCAGTCATGTTTGGTTTAGTTAAAAATAATATTTTCAGTGAATTTTGATAATAAAAAAAGAATGATAAAATATGTGATTATAAAATTGATTATGAACCTCATGCGTAGTTCAATGAATTCGGAGAAAAAAAATAATTTTAGAATACAAGGCTCAGTCATTTTTGTCAACTCAACGGCAATTTAATTGCAGAAAATGTCCTCAATCTTTTCATTTTTGCATTTATCAAAATCTTATCATCAATATTCTATTAATTTACAAATATTGTTTTTGAAGAGTGTTTCTATCCAAAAAAATTATTATGAGGGCGTAAAAACTCATTCTCTCTCGTAATTTTAAATAATTGAAATAAACAATAAATACAAAATATTTTTTCCTCATTTTAATGCACCTTAAAGAATATTTGAACATAATTTATCATTAGAAACAAAATATTAAAAATAAAAAAATGACGAAAACGCTGAGATTATCTCTACTTTTTTTTTTTTTCTCTTAAAAGAGAGGAACTGTCGTGGACTATTCATTTCTGAGATCCCTTTCACATGACACTATTCAATGCCCATTATCTCTACTGTTGTAGACTTTAAAATTTTTTATTGGTTTGTACTATTCCATCCAGCTGTAAAGGTTTCTTTATTTGATTTCCCAACCTACCCTTAAATAATTGGGGCAAACTAATTCTCTAATGATCTAATCGTCTTTTTGTTGGTCACGGTGCGGCTTGTGTTTCTCGTTTTCTATAATTTAAATCGTTTAGGGCTTGTTTGGGAGGGATTAAAATCCAATTAAAATTGAAAAATAATTTTTTCGGGGTGATGGGAAAATGCCTAATAATTTTATATGATAAATCCTAGATTAGTTTAATTAGGATTTTGCTTAATTAGAAGTATCCTAATATAGATTGTGCTCTTTTCATAATTTATGCAGATATCTTTAGAATATATACTGTATCCAAATCAATGATTTTCTGGTACCATAACACAGTTTACAAATCATAAGTATTTTAAAAATTTTGTAGAGATTATCAATGCAGATCAACAAGCAAATTTGATGTGTGATAATTTTCATGGATTTATATATGGTATTATTTATAGAACAGAAAAAGAACAGCAATTTAGTAGCAAAATAGTTCATGAATTTATAATGAAACTTGTCAACTGTGGCAAGAATAATGAAGTCTGGGTAAAATTTGATGACCATTTGGCCCGTTTTGATATGCAAGAGTTTTGTCTCATAACAGGATTACATTGCCACGAGATATCTATGAATGTTGACTTTAACAATGATCGACTTAAAAATCAATACTTTAATGGTATCCAAAAAAAAAAAAAAAATGAAAATGGCGATGCTTTTTGAAGCATTTCACTTATGTGAAAACCAAAAGGATAAATTTAAATTCGGACTGGTGATGTTAGTAGAATGTATTTTAAAACCTAGTGGAAGGTATATTGACTACAAAATTCTAGGCATGGTTGAGAACGTTCATGCCTTCCCTGCATATCCATGGGGCTGTAGAGCACATGTTGTTCTATTAAACTCATTGCAAGCATCACACCTGGAAAGAGTACAAAGAATGCAACAGAATGAGCAAGCCGAGTGTAAATATGCATTACATGAATATCCATTTGCATTTCAAATACTTTTCTTCTATTATCTTATTTTCACCAATCTATATATAATTTGATTTACTAGTATAAATCTTATATATCTAATATGTATTTTCAATTATCTTAATACTGGATATACGAAACATTTCCATATATTGGACGAAAATTTGGACGGTGTAGATATAAAGGCATTACAAAGTCCAAGAATGCACATGTGGAAACCCAATAAAATATTAACAGAGAATACAGTTAGGCAATTTTTGGCTACCTAGGAGGTAATTTAATTATTTGATTATATTTCTTATTACATTACATTATACATATAATTATGTTTTTTTCCTTAAAAAAAATTCACAATAAATCATTTAAATATTTTATTACAATTACAGATTCAAGTAATTGCGGTATTACAACCTACAGATGAAGAATTACAAATAATGTGATACACAACTCTTTCATTGCCACAAGACAACCAACATAACATATTATATGGCATTGTCAACAGAGAATTGAACAATATACCACAACAAATCCCAAACACTGATAACATGCCAACTGGTCATCGTACTTCAGTTGGAGCTGGCTCAAGTTCTACTTCTATTAGCTCCAATTATATGACTAGAGAATAAATGGAGCAAATGCTGAATATATATAGGCAACATATTGTATCAGATGTATCTTGTTTATGCAGCGACTTGAAAACAACCATTGTTGAACAATCAAGAAGACAAGAACGCTAGTATGAAACAATTCTTCAAAACCAAAAAGAATTGTTTGACCAACATCGAAAGTAGCAACAAGACTATTATGAAGACATGCAATCTAGAATAGTTCAACTTACCAAGCTCTTCTTGACAACCAAAAACAATTCTTCCAACAACAATAACAGTGGCAAGAAGAACACTACCAAGGCATGCAATCTAGCATGCAAAATTACACCGATACCATTTCAAATTCAGTACGATGTTATATTGATGACCAAAATAGCAAAACGCTGAACAAACTATCAGACTGTCAATCAAACATGGAAGCTGTTATAGCTTCCCTCCAATAAGATGTCCCTGTCCACAGCAATCCAATTGTTTAGCATGCCTCAACATTTCAACAAATTGAAGATGTTGAAATATCAACAAAAAGAAAGGCTAAAAGCAAAAAGATAAAGTCTTCAACACCATCTACAAATTATCTTTTAGAAGACTATGATATGGAGAGATACACAACACTTAGAGACAGGGTAGTAAAGAATCTATCAAAGTAACCAATCTAATTTTACTTTATTAGCTTCAGTATTAGAATTTTAATTTGATTTATTTAAAACTAATTTAAATTACATTATGCAGTGCATATTGGGATGATGGACCTAACAATTTATACAGAAGAGACAAAATAAAAACTATAATGAACACAACACAGGATATCAGTACTACGGTTAGTAAAGTTTAAACATCATAATAAATTTCATTCTATATTTAATATATTTAATTTACATCTATTTATTTTATCAGAATCTTGACCTGGAGTTAAAATTGTTGAGGCGTCTGATTAACGATGGTTGCACTCTTCTTTCGAAGGAATACACAATTCTAGACTTCCAATTTGAAAATGAATGTACTCGACAAATAATGTTACAAAGAAGCATACAAGAAAGAAGTGCAAGAAATACACTCGATTTAACTCTTTTAGAAGAATACATAAATGGCAATTTACCAACATCTGGTCGTCCATGGATAACATGTAATTACCTATTAATTCCGTATTCATATTCATGCAACAGTTGGTATCTATTTCTTGCTAATTTTTCTGAATGGAAATTCCAAATCTATGATTGTAGCCACAATCTTCATACGTCACAACATATCAGAACACATGCAAATGCGGTACTAAATTTAGTCCAAACATTATTAATGTCTTCAGAGTTTTCTATCAGACAAGATAGTGAAAGATTATCGATCTGATTGAACTTGTCTGATTTATTAATTGCAGCTTTCTTTTGAGAGGACTAATCAGTTTGAATGAGACATTCATGTTAGAATCAATAGTTCAAAAAAAGGTATTCACTGTTGCAATTGTGAGTTTTAATAATCATTCAATCCTTAATGGCTTAACCTTTGTATCTTTGACATGTCTAAAAGATCTATAGCTTTACAAAAAACTTTTAAGTTTTTCATTTTGAATTGTTTTTTGTGGACATTTTCTATTTTCTTATGCATGCTCTTTTCATGTGCTTCTTTATAGCATGTTTTGTGCACATTAAAATAAAAGAATGCATTTTTTTGAAGTGATGTGACGGAGAATATGTGGTTGAAAAAGAAGGAAAAATTATTGATGCAATGAAAAATATTATTTTATTGAAAAATGTGTGGTTAAAAATGAGTAGAAGAATGAGAATGAAAAAAAAAAAAAATGTGATTCAAACAGCAGCTTAGACTCAAAAGAGAAAGTTGGGACTACAAAATAACTAATCCCGTGCATTTTACGGGCAAGAACTAGTATATGTAAAAATGAGCAAATATTGTTCTTCTTTGTAATTAAAATACGATGAGAGTAATAAAAAATTAAAAATTATTGTATGAATATAATTATTTTTCTTAATCCGGGATTTACTGACCTGAAATTTTACCGATAACAACTCAGTTGACTTGACGTTGACCGTCATGGCCGCACATGAAGAAAGCTGAGCCAGCACGCGGAGGATCGCCAATGCGCCACCGGCCGTGCGACTGTTATCTCACTATTACTCATTTTCGCGCCGGTCCTCTCTCTCTCTCTCTCTCTCTAAAGCTCATACGCAGTAGTCGGAACCCAAAACCCCAGCGTTTATCAATGCATTAATCCTAACGTGCGCCTCAAATTCCGGAATTCTGGAGGTAATTCAAATTTCAATTATAAATATGTAATTCACTAGTTTCAGTGGTAATTAAGATCTTAATTTTATGGGCCCATTTTCTTTTTCCTTATCAAGTTTAAAGAATTAATGGAAAAAATAAATACCATTGCTGCTGGATCGGTTAGACATTAATTAAATTATGTATTCCTCCGTTTTTCGGTTTTCGTTTTTTTTTTCTTTTTTCTATTTTTTTGCATGCAAATTGAATAGGAGGATAGAAAAAGAAGAATATAATTGTTTGCTGATGATATATACGTAACGATATACGTTTAATTCTGTTTTTCAACATGTTAATAACAATTTGGGATATGTTTGGTACTGTACTCGACAAGACCTTCGTTTCAATGGAGAAGATTTTAACTTTTTTAAAATATTGTTGTATAGTATAGTCTACCATACCAAGCAAGCACTCAATGGTTTTAACAAACTCCTTTTTTTTTTTCCTTTTTCTTGTAATTTGATCACAACTTGATGTTCAATTATTTTTTGTCCCGATAGTAGATTTCTTTCCTTTTAAGATTGTAAATTTTATGCAACAACACCATTATCTTCAGCAGTTTGGGTTAGTACATGCTATTCTATTAAAAAGGTCTTTTGTGCAAAGCGTAGCAATGAATCATACAAGAGGTGCTGGTTTGACACTAGTCTTTTACATTATTTGTTTTTCTTAATGAGAAATGAGGTATTTTAGCGGTGCAGTATCGAATACGGAATGTGTTTAATGCATGCATCTTTGCTAATGGAATTTTCTTACCAAGAATATCTAGATATTTGGCTTTCCGCTTTCCACGATATAGAAGAACTTCCGTTTGTCTTTTGGCTTCTTGGTACGTCCCCTCAGGTAACTTCAAACTCTCTATTGTTGAGAAACTTTCTACCCGCGGTTTAAGTAATGACTCATAACTCACAGTTTACGTCATATCCATAAATTAAGCGGTATTCCATGTCTTATTTGGGTCGATAGCATCAGCAGTTTATAATATCGAGGGTCTAGAACGTTTCGACAAATAATTCTTTCTCTTTCGTTTGCTCGGACACGTGGATGTCCACGCGTCATATAAATGTATTGAAAAGGAACTTTTTTTTTTCCTTATAAAAGCAATTTCACTGATTCAACTATTGTGCATTGCTTCTATATAATGCAAAGTGTTTCTGTTTATTGGATGGGTTTCACTTGATCGCCGTTCAGTGGGATTTGAACAATTGATTTTGGAACAAATTCAGGTAGAGGAAAGCATTCCATGTTCATGAGCATATAGGCAACTAGTAATTTGAAGTGTTACGCATCCTTGTAATTTGCCAGAATAATTTATTATATATGCATTGCTGTGATGGAAGATGATGCTTGCACTTGCTCTTTGATTCTTTGTAATGGCTTTGCTCAAGTTACAAGAAGCAGGAAGCTTATTTTTAATTCACCATCTGTGGAGAACCTTTTTATGATGAGATTTAAATTGTTCTTGGTTTTCCACTTTGCATGCAATTTCAATTAGAAAATGAGTTTTATCTGGAAAATATAAGTATGCACTCATCAAATTAAACCCTCAAGGTTCTTTGTAAATTTCGTCATTTTTCAGTTCTTATTCTGCATGTGCATTTATGTTTGTTTGGCATGTTGTAAGTGTGAAAGTCATAACAATAATTATTCTATTGAAGGCATAAATAGTTGTGTTGCTAGATATATTCCAATCTAATCCGTTGACAGGATTTCCTAGTTGGATTTGAATTTGTTTGGCTAGATATCACCGTATAACGAATTTTCACTTGCTCTGAGCAGGATGGCTAGTGGATAATTTGATCTGCAACATATGCAAATATTTATTAATTGATATCCTGTAGCTGGTGATTTGCTCAGATTATAACCTTAGCTCTTGGAATGGATCACCAGGATACAGCAGGGTTTGTTAGTGGTGGTTTTTGCCGCATCTTTGGAAGTTCTGATTTTGTTTCTCTTTATTAGTTTTTTTTTTTTTGTCTCTTTTCTTCTCGTCTTTAGACCTCAGAAGTTCTGCAACCTGCAAAATAGTTCTTTTCATCTATATTTTACAGCTGTTAGTGGATTTGGGCTCAAGGTGATTTAGCGGTACATGGATGGTACCCTTGGCTTTACTACTACTTTAGCCACCGTGCCAAAAGGTCTGAGCAAAGTTGTTGATTGCACTGTCGTCGCTGCCCCAGATATTTATCCACCTGGTGTGTCAAGCTCTTCATTTTCCAAGGGAAGCAAGAGAAAATGGAGCTTTACTGATGAATCTTCTCTGGTTCTTGGCTCAGGCCGTTCATCAAGTTCTTGCATTACCATTTGCTCTTGGAAAGAAATGGAAGAGGAGCCTTCAATTGATCTTGATCTAAGTATCAACTTCAACCGAGGAGGTAACAGAATGTCCAATCCAAATAGGGCATCTGCTGGGACTTTAAATGCATTTGAAGTTAGGAGGCCTAAACTAGACCTCGAATTAAGTCTGTCTACTGGACCTACTGCATCTGATTTGACCATTTTCCAAGGGTTCAGTCCTTATCAGAACAATTCTGAGTCACCAGCCTTAGTTGCTTCAGCTCAAGTTGTTGATGAAGGGTCGACATCATCTCGGTCGAAAACTGGGTTTCATGTTTCTACACTGCCGAATATTGCTAATTCTGTTCCTGTTGACAATATCCATTGTTTTGGAAATCCTATCCCAGTGACCCCAAAACTTCCATTCAGAGCAGCAGCGACACCGTCCTCAGTTGCTGGTACTTTTGGATTGGTTAATCAGCAAAAGAAACGGAGAGCCAGTGCGAAAGTCTGCATGGTCGAAGGATGCATAAAGGGAGCAAGAGGTGCTTCTGGTCTCTGTATTGCCCATGGAGGTGGGAGAAGGTGTCAGAGAGCTGGCTGTCAGAAGGGAGCCGAAGGAAAAACTTTCTGCAAGGCACATGGAGGTGGTCGCCGGTGCCAGTATCTTGGATGCACTAAGAGTGCAGAAGGGCGTACTGATTATTGTATAGGGCATGGAGGTGGTAGGCGTTGCACTCACGAGAGTTGTCCTCATTCAGCAAGAGGTAAGATGGGATTTTGTATTCGTCATGGGGGCGGCAGAAGGTGCAAGATTGAAAATTGCACTAAGAGTGCCGAGGGTATTTCTGGTCTCTGCATATCCCATGGAGGCGGCCATCGGTGCCAATATCCGTGGTGCTCAAAGGGTGCTCAAGGGAGTACCATGTTCTGTAAAGCTCACGGTGGTGGCAGAAGGTGCACGTTTTTTGGGTGCACAGAAGGGGCAGAAGGGAGCACTCCATTCTGTAAAGGCCATGAAGGGGGCAAAATATGTCAATTTGTAGGATGCACAATGAGCGAGCACGGGGGAACTTTATTTTGTGTTAGTCATGGTGGTGTCAAGAGTTGCACCGAACTCGAGTGTACCAAGAGTGCAAGAGGGTGCACCACCTATTGTGTTCGTGATGGTGGTGGAAAAGGTGCAATCTTGAAGGATATACCAAGAGTGCACAAGGCAGAACTGATTTTTGGCAGTCAAGGTGCCAGTCCATGTGACAAGTTTGACAAGTTCACAACCGAGAAATTGAGTTTGTGCACTATACACGGTGCTCAAATAGAAGATAAACGGATCCACGAGAATGCTTTAATGGATTCTACCACACACAACCCACATTCTTGTGCATTTGCACAGACGGAAGGGATCTTTGCATCTGGGCACAATCTTTTTGATCGCATTTCAACTATGGAACGTGGGACTCCAATTGGTTATGGACACAAATTGATTTCTATGCCAATTAGACAGCAGGTTGGAAATGTTTGTTCAAATAATTTCTCTCTTCCAGAAGACATGGTGCATGGAGGACTCTTAATGGAAATGCTCAGTGGAAGCACATTCTTCGGGACGAGCAACAAGAATCAAGAAGTCGGTATCCAATTGGACACAGGAAAATCTTATGTCCTGCCTCATAGTTTGGTGTAAGCAAAGCTCCTGTTATTCCACTGTGTTCGTTTCATCATAGTTGGTTTGTGTTGGGTTTTCTGCATTCCGTTCGTATCGGAATCTGGTCACAGTGTCACAGGAATAGATGTGCTCATCAATTGACATCGAGGGTCTAAGTTATGAAGTTGGGTACTTGGGTATGTATTGAGTTGGTTTTGGACTGTTTGTGTCCCTTGTAAATATTGCTGTTCTGTTTTGATTAAGTCATCTGTCTTCTGTAAATATTTTTGTTTTCGTATTTCAATTATAATAAAGTTGTCCCGTATATATTTACTCTTGGACTTATCGTATTGTGTGGGTATTTATTTGGCCGCTTTTCCTTTAAAATAAGAATAAAAATTATCGGTAGTAGCCACGTAGGATAACTACCAGTAGTCCTCGTTATGAATAGTATTATTCTTAAAATAATAGGTTTCTCTTATTCACATTTTTAGTATAGTCCCGTTGTATCAAAATGGGAAGGAACGGTCTTCAAATGAGATCTGAAATATCTTCCTGTTTTCCCAACTCTTTTGAAGGGATAAAACTTAAAAGGACTGCAACTTATCTAAGCCCGGCCCAGTACTGTGCCCTAACAAAGCCCAGATATTGGCATGCTGGGCAATAAAATTACAGGGCCCAACAAGGCCCATGAGGAACAGTTGTTATAATTTTGGGAGCTTCTTATTTATATTTATTTAAGATAGAAAAAAAATAAATTAAAGTTATGTTTCTAAACCCTAATATTAGTTTGATGCACTTACGTCTGATTAGAAGCAACATGTCACGGGCTTAGTTTCGTTACTCCCGAACTAAACAAATCCTATTATCACGAGATAACGTTAATTCAGTCTTTCAACACCCACAAAAATTTAACCTATGAGGCTAAATTATATTAACTGTGAATAGAGAAGGTAAGATAGGAAATTATATCTTATATTGAAAGGAACACACATAAATTTGGAAAAACCTCCTTGTATAAATGGAATGGAAAACTATTTTCTCTCTGTGAGCTATTACTCCATAATCCATCACTCCATATGATATACAAATGAACCAACGCCTCTATTTATAGGTAAAGTCTTGGAAAGCAAGTTGAAATCAATGGCCAAGACTTGATTAATCCAATGGTTACAAGTTTGCAAACCTTCTTTGTGCAAGTTGCATCCACTTTGTTAAAGTGATAGTCAAATTGATATTTGTTACCTTGCAAGTTGCATGTCCCCCACAACTCTTGTGCAAGTTGCACGTCACTTTCCAACACTGTGCCAGTTGACATGTCCCTTTATAAAAGTAGTATCCAAGTTGAACTTTGCTTCCTTCTTTGACCAAATGGTAGTGACTTCCTCATACAAGTTGCACAAAAAATCGGTACCTGCTTGCGTCCAAAACAACCGGCTACAGTCCACGATATTTATCTGCCTCAAAACAATGAGCTCTATTCCAAACTAACGACTCAACCGGAATTTAGGCTGTCCCAAAATATATCTTTCACTTCATATTTAGATCAAACGTAGCTTGAATTTAACATTACAGGCATGTTAGGTACATTGTGCTAGACACGATTTAAGGAAAATAAAGGCGTTAAATGTTCGTCCATTGTCCAGTACAACATATCAAAGGCAAACAAAAACTGAATACCAAGTTCTGTTCACTTTCTCTTGAATGAGGGAAAGAATTCTTCTAACAGCTATTAACCAATTAAAAACTCAATGCTGATATTGTTGCCACAGAAGAGAATAGAAGTGCAGAGTGCATTTTGTCAAATGGGTTATGAAGTCAACAAGTAAAAGCTTTAAACAGAGGTACATTTGCTGGAATGAATTACATAAATATAAAATAAAACAAAAATGGCACATGCCTAGTCGATAACTGAAAAACCGTAGGGTTGAAAATCAATTCTGATGTGATAGCATAGGTCTCCAACCTCCTTTGCCCGTCTATACTTTTCTGACCTTATTATTGCTATGAGCCGACTGGGACCGCCAGATAGGCTATTTGTCACAAACTTTTCTGACCTGAATGTTATGAGTCGACTGGGACCGCCAGATAGGCTGTCTACCACTTTGAACAAGAGCAACATGCTCGCCTTCTTTCACCATCCCGTTCTTCTATAGAACAACATACATTTGTGAGAAAAAATACAGTATATTCAAATCCTAATACACGAGCACTGAACACGAATCCAGAAACATAAATATAATAACACATGAATCATGCAGTAATTTAAAGTTGATGTGAGTGTAATATGTTAGGATCACATTAGCAAGAACAGAACATATGGTGTTGCTCCAGCTGTTTAGTGCATTCAAGAAAGTGATTTATAACTCAAGGCTAAATGATTCAACAACTTACGTGACACCAAGAATATTCATTAACGTACTTTCAGTACTAGGAAAGTAGGTCGAAAACCTCAGTCATGCAGCTAGCCAAGTACCTACTATCATTTTTTAATTCTTATTTCATGATAGGTCTAAATTACCACCTATATAATACTATATGATAACTGAAATTGAGTAAAAGTGGAACCTAACCTGCAACAAAGCTAATGCTTTTACAAAGGTCTCCTCGGCATTATCTGAGAACTCTAAGTATATGGCGCAAATTCCCTGGTACAAAGCCAGTCTCTGCTGTATTCTCTTCCTGTAACCCAATTAAGTAAAAAATCAATTGTACGAGAAATTTATTTAATACAAATTTCAAAAATTATAAAATAACCATTTCCTTAAAATAATCGTGTTATATGAAGTTTTCAAAAGTATCTAATGGATGAATATCAGATTACACATATCATAAAGTCAGCCACCAAAAGCGCTTTAATAATGGAAGACCACAGTCTCGTGTTGAACATATAGAGTAGTTCAAAAGGCTCACTCATTCGTGAAAGCAAATATTGTGCCGGAAGGCCGATAGTGGCTCAGTAGAATGGCCATGAAACCAGTTCGGGTGAAGACAACGGTTGAAGTTCCAATAGTGTTAGACATCATTGTTGCATGGTATGCAAACATGTCACTCATATGCTTCTGCACAAAATGAAAATCGTCAGTAAAATTTCAGTCTATGAGGAGCACATTCATCTCTGTGTTTACTTGCATAACAGGCTCAGAAACTACAAATATAAGACTTCCCTGACCTTAAAGGCTTGGCCAAGGTTTGGCAGAGTCTGTGTACCAACCATAGTTGCTTCGGTTCGCAAAGACACAGTGTGCATGACCTTGACAGCTTTCAGTGGATATCTTCCAAGGAAATGAAATCAATCAATCATATGTAGATAGCACAATATCATAGACAAAGCAAAAGAAAAATGTGAAAAGAGGCTGGGCTTTTAAAGTTACTTTTCTAGAAAGTAATTTTATACTAATGTTTTTTAGTGAAAAAGGTAACTCTGCATAACAAACCAAAGATTTTCAAAGATCATATCCAATATAACAATAGATGGGATCAAATCTGATCTGAAAGGACTTTCCCAGTGAATATGTTGTTTGTTTTAATATCCAAAAATTTTAATCTAAATAGTTGAATGAATTGACCTATATGAATAGGGAAAAAAAAGAATTCAAAGATAAACTCAGCAGGAAGAATCCCCATCCCTAACAACCTGTTCGAAATTATGTATTTTCTGCTCCCAAACTTCAATGAAGTACTACAAACAAAATCGAAGGTAAAATTGCTTACTTCCCATTAGCAGTTTCTCCAGAAAGCATAACTGCATCAGCACCCTCTCTAACTGCAATTGCAATATCTGATACCTCTGCTCTGGTAGGTGTGGGATGAACTATCATGCTCTCAAGCATATTTGTTGCCACTATGACAGCTTTCCCCATACTACGACAAAGCCTGATTATCTCTTCCTAAAATTCATGCTATATTGTTACCTTAAGAAGTAAAATGCAGTACTATGTGGCTTCCTCATGGAAACATTCAACCACCCAAGTTCCCTCCAGGCTCCAGTATACATATTGAACTGTAAGGGGGCCAAAAGATGAATGTTTCCACAACAATCACACACAGCAATTACCTGCAATATAGGAACCTCTTCGATGGGCAACTCTGCTCCAAGATCCCCTCTTGCAACCATAGCCTGAGACGAGAAAAACAATATAGCTTTATCTTGCAATGGTAAGTTAATGGCCTCCAAATTAAAGGACGAAAGGAAATGATGACTCGAGAAACACATTCAGATAGGAAACTCTTTCGGCTACAATAAATTTTCTTGATCCAACAAAATATAAACCCAACAAGCTACTGTTTCCATAGTTTCCATTCCATGTGGCCAAATAGGAGACAAGGGGTGCCCTCGTACGTGTTTTTTTGTTCTCTTTTTACAAGATTATTCCATCATTTGGCAGATATAAAACCAATTCATACTACAGTTACTAAATCCTAAATTACCGTATAATTAACCACAGGAAACGACCCAATCAACATGAAGGCAGGAGCCCTATCTAGTAACAGTTTTCTTTCAACTCAAATATCCAAATAAATACTCCTATGATTACCCCATCTGATGCAGTTATGATTGAATGCAAGTTCGGTATGGAATCTGCACTTTCAATTTTTACGATCACGTGAATATCTGCACCAGCATCTGCATGAAAAAGGATACACAACTCTGTGAGTTAATTTTTTCCATACTTAATATCACAGCATACAAATGGACAGGTTGTAATACTTTGCAGATAATCCTTCAATTCGTGTACCACAGCCGCATCTTTGACAAAGGAAACGGCATAGAAGTCAACTTTATTGTCAACTCCAAATTTGATGTCATCCCAGTCTTTCTCTGTTGCATAGATGGACAAAAGGTCATACTCAATTGCAAAACAAACATCACAATACCCAGAAGTCAAAGGAAAAGCGATACATGTGCATATGCAATATGGCGATTTAGCGTATTATAAAATGTTGCTGAGTCTGACCAGTAATGGATGCAAGTGTAGCACTCTTTCCTCGAACATTTAGATGCCGTCGGGATTTAAGCTCTCCTCCATCAATGACCTCACATTTCACAGAATCTTCAGTCTTCGATTTTACCATTAATGACATCATACCACCTTTATTGCCAAGAAATAGTCAGTAATGGATTAAAAAGAACAGCAAATGTCAAAATCCCCTAAATAAATTTTTCAACAGAGCTTTGATATTCACGAGTTCAAGTACCCATATAACACGTATGCATAATCAGGAAATACCCAACACCACCTCCCAAACTGTGCCACACACACACACACACACACACACACAAAGAGAGAGAGAGAGATGGAAAGGCTAAACTAACATTTGCACGAGCATTTACATATAAAAGCACGCAGAAAAAATTTCTTCGTTAGTGCTTTGACGAAAAAGTGGTATAACCTTACCTACAAACACATTGGTCATGTAACTAAAACGGAAGCTAGCAAAAACAAGCACACTCACATCTTGAATTGATTTTATTACTTATTGATCTCTAATTCAGTAATTTGTATTGATAATAATACAGAGAAAAGGAAATCCATAGCATACCATCCACAAGAAGCATGTCCCCCACTTCTACATCATTTACAAAATCATCATAGTTGACGCTCACACAATCTGCTGTACCAACCACTCTCTGAATTGTGAAAGTAAATTCCTGGCCGCTTGTCAACATAATCGGTTGGGGTAGATCACCACTTCTAACCTCTGGACCCTGCCAATAGAAATCATGCAATATAGCAAAATGGAAACATATTAGCAAATATTATTTAATTTGTGTGCTTCCTGTCCTCGAAAATGCATGAATTCAGCATTTCCTATATTATGACATATTATCTATTCTTATATTATTAGTCGTAAGCCTAGAGAAGAAGAAAGAAAGCAGAGCAAAAACCAACGCTTCTAAAAATGTTGCCTGTAAAAATAATCTTCGAGGCAGAAATAGCTTTTTACAGATGCAATATGCTCTTTATATATGACACATCATTCTAGTAATACAAATCCTTTAATCAAAGAAATTTCTTGGCAACAATATATCATAAACATGACGAACTTGACTCGTGCAGTTAGAAAGAGAACTATGTTACTTTAAACCCTGAAATGCCAAGCAGTGATCTATGAGCCAAAAGACAACTGACTTGCCTTGGTGTCAAGCATGATGGCAATAACATTGTCTTTTGCTTGGGCATTATATTCCTTAACCAAATCAATGACTTTCTGGTGAGATGTGTGGTCTCCATGGGACATATTCAGACGAGCAACATTCATCCCAGCCTCTGCCAGCCTCCATATCATTTCCCTGGTATTGGTTGATGGACCAATTGTGCAAACAATCTTCGTCTTGCGTCTTACTGTAGGCTTAGACCATGTACCCACTGATGTGTCACCAAGTTCCTGAATAGTCTGTAAATACTGAATTTGCTCCTCTGCCTAGTCAAGAGAACAACAGTTAGTTATTAATAAGAGCAAGTAATTTTACTTCAATTCTCACACTAAGTGCATGCTTCTCTCATCAAAATTTCAATGGCACGAATGTGCACAAATTCAAATCCAAGTCTATTGGCAAAGTAAAGGTCCATGTATAACCGAAAAAATAAATAATAAAAAAATAGCTCAGCACAGATTGGATTTAAAATTTTTGAAGGGAAATATAAGCTATATTTAGTAACGGAATTAATGCACCAGAAAAAGGTTCAACGATTGAAACCATTTTTTCATTTGTTCCAATTTCAAAGCCCGAGTACCATCTCAACAAAATCCGAGTCAGTTTTAAATATTTTGTCTAATTATTATATTCAATTCAAAGGTTTACAAGCTAATAAATTTGGGAATGTAAAATGGCATTTGGAGCAACTAGCAATACTCAGTTCTTTGTATATATTATAGAAACAGTAAATCAAGCCCCAACACTGAAAATTCCAAATTAAATATTTCCAAGAGAGAAAAAGGGCAAACCATATTACATTATCAGCTAAAGGTATGCAGTGCACAGAATATTTAATGCCATTTAACAAAAGACACAGTATATTCCATAAACGGGAATTATACCTCGAACATCAACCTTCGTGGTTCATAAAAAAAGATCAATCTTTACTAGCGATAAATAAGTTTTACAACGAAAAAAGAAGAGACATTCTCTGAAAAGGAAAGAAAAATCAGAACCTTAGGAACATCTTCAGGAGTCATCGGAAAGACTTCCGGATCCACTCGTGTGGATCTCATAGCAATAATCGGTAAGCTAACATGACCAACTCCACGGTGGCTCTTCTTCTCAGACTGAAACAAAAGCTTCGAACCAAAGCCAGCCGTCGGCCTCAGCTTCTCGGCTTGTCTCTGAAGAGATCCAGAGCTAGGATTGGTCGCAAACGCACCGTGAATCATCTCCGTCGCCATTACTACAGGTACAAAAGCTTTGACAGAGATAAATTAGAGGATCTAGAGAGAGTAATTGCGGAGAATGCAGAGTGAGAAGAGAGTATAAATTGGAAGAGAGATTGAGGAAATCGCCGATGAATTTGGAGTGTAATGTAGAGAACCCGTTCTTGTTTGTATCGAAATGTGAAGGAAAATAGGCTATCTTCGTTAGTTCAAAACGGTTGGGGTTTTGGTTTATGGGTATGGTTTGGCCTGGGGAGTTTGGGGGGAGTTGAACGGTGGTTTACTTAAGAGTTAAGACACGTGGAGAAGTAGTTATTGGGTACGGATGGTTCCAACGAGTTTAAAGTGGTAGAAGGACAAGTGGGGGTCTGGGGCTGGCAACAGGTCACGAGATCTCTTGCACCACGCCGCAGAAACGGAACTGGGGTCGGACTCTCTCAATTCGAGGTTTGATTATAACGTGTAAAAATGTAGATGTGATTTGAAAATAAAAAATGAAAACGATAATTGACCCAAAATGTCTATATCATTTACTTGTTTTATAAAAATAATTTTGTTTCAATGTTTGCATTTTGCAAGTTCATCAAGCCTTGTACAAATCATCCATGCCACCATATTCGTTTGGGATCTATCTCACCTCGATCATCAACTACTCGTTCAAGATTGTGGTACTATTAGATATTCGTATTTTTTCCCAATACAGTCGACTTATCCATGCTTACTGGAATCTCAGGCCCTGTTTGGGAGAAATTTTAATCAAGATTTCAATCAAAATTCTAGCCGTTAACTATCAAATCATATTCCTTTTTTGACATTTCCTCTCATAGGTCGGGCCCACAGGTTGACTATACCGGCTATTATTTTGATTAACATCCTANACATGTTTACTATAACGGCTATAATTTTGATTAAAATCCCACAAAAATTGCTCCCAAACACACTCTCAATTTTCTCAGCAAGAACAAAATTCATCTATAATTCTTATATCGAGAACAAAATTCATTAGATAATCCTTGTATAGAGAAACTAGTTTTTGAGTTTACAATTGCATATCTTAATTTAATGATTTGTAGGTCACCGATACACCGACATATATGAATCACCTTCGACGTCAACCTCAAGACTTCAAATGCCAAAATTCCATAACAAGCTTATGAGGATCCAATGCTCTACCATTTGGGAGAACTTCTCCATATATTGCCGAACTGGTTATTTGAATTCTGTTTCATTTCCCACGTATTTGATAAATGCATCACTCACATATACCATTCATTGAAGTGTGTAAAATTTTACAAATTAGATGATTTAGAAGTAAAATTCAAAATCGCGCGCGCACACGCACAAGCTAGATCAACATAAAAAATATAACATTTGAAAGCAAACTCATCTACGGAATACGACATCCATATTAATTTGGGAGACAATTTGAAAAATCGATATACCCAACGAGTATATGAATTTGGAAGTAAAAAAATGCAAGGAAAAAATTCTCAATAGAGGCTTTGGCAAATGAGCTCGATCAAAGTGGAGTCTAGTTCATTTGGGCTGTGAAGCCATTGACGACGAAGCAAGTGACGACTGATTTTTTGGATTAGTCCCTAAAGAGCTACGAAAAACGATTTGCAGGCAAACTGTTTATTATTGTAGGTGGGGTGGAAACATATGTGCGAATAATGAGTCGACTGACGATAGATTGTGGGGGTGGGGGTGAAGGATGGTCGCCGTGGCATGGTAGGATGGTGGTTGGGGATTTTTTTATTTTTTTTTCCTTTTTCTTTTTGTTTATGTTTATGTTTTTTTTTCCATTTCTTGTTAGATGAAATTATTCAAGGGAACTCACCTTTTCATCCTTATAAATTGTGTGATGTGGAGAGTATGCGCCTATTTTCAATGGAAGAAATTGATATAGTTAGATGGCAGGGATGATTCATGCAAGTTTTGATCGATATGGGGTCTAAATATCAAAATTGTAATGAGAATTTTTCTTTTTGCAAAATAGACAAACGATATGGACATTTTTTGTCGATTATTAAAAGATTAAAAAGAATAATGTATAAATTCTTATTTTACTCTAAATTAAGTCGTTAATCAATCGATAAATCAAACCTAACTTGACCGGAGTGATCAAATCAATGGTTCTAAACTAACACAACACGAGCTCGAAACATTTTTATTTATTTTTAACTACATTCATATAATAAAATATTTTGCAAGTAAATTAAAAAAATTTCTAACTTTTGACAATACATTCTCTTAAAATTGTTATTCAAAACATTGTTTTTACCAAATAATGACGGAATAACTCACGTGCAATTATTATGTAAGTCTGGGATAGTATGTAAAAAATTAAAAAGGGGACCCGAGTGCTAGCGGCTTGAATTTTTTGGACCCCATATGCAAATTTTCAGAAAAGCCCAAAATATTTCTGGAAAGCGCGGCAAAATTCAGTTTCCATTTCCCTCCATAAAAACCCTAACCATGCGTTCTTAGATCCAAATCTCCTCTTTCTCTCAGTTATCTAATTTTCACGCATTTCATACTCCTCTCACAAGCCATCGATATCAAAAGACCAGAAACAAATTTCTTTTCAAATCCCAAATCAATACTAATTCTAGGGTTTCGCGTATGGAAGGACTATCCAGCATTTGCGGTGGCCTCGGAATCATCGTAGAGGATGACGACGGCAATCCCATTGGCTACTCGAAGGGGGAATACTGCTTGGGTACTGTTAAATTTCGAAGAAAAGGAAAAAAAAAAGATTAAATTTTATGTTCTTTTTTTATTTAAAGATAATGTAGAAATGATTTTTTTTTTTGTATCTTTATCTGATGTTTTTATTGTTCAATTGATTATAGAGGGGTTTATTAATTAGCATTTTTGCACTTCTCTGCAGATAATTTGAAGGACTTGTTGAGGTTTATGAGGAGAGATGATCCAGAGAAGCGAGAGGTGTTTAAGCAAGTTTGCAAATGGAATGTCGCTGGGAAAGATTTGATACCCATCATTGAACATTGCCAAGAGGATAGTAATTTGGTGCTAAATGCAGGCAATGAAGCTCACCCATTGTCTATCAAATTTTGTATAATTCACATATCGGAAATGTAATATAGTTAATTAAATATTTTATTAATTTCTCATTTTCAATAACGCAGTGAAAATTTTGGTTTTTTTAACTATGCCCATTGAGCCTGCATCTCATGATATACCGCAGCAGATAGAGTATCTTTGGGGATTGAAGGCTGCTGTGACACTCAGTAATGCCGTCCCGGTGATAGTTGCTCTCTTGGAAACTCCTCTAGAAAATTTGGAGAAGTAAGCTGACATTTCAGATGAGTACTTGTTTGATTTTATAAATATGGAAATTAGTCGTGAAGTTTGGCATGATTTTCGTGTCATTAATTTGAGCCCCGGAAATGAAGGTCTTAAGGATGCTGTGTTGGAAAACCAGCGTGAAAGATTTCATGCTTAGTTTTCTCATATTCCTGGTGGAAAGAGTTTTCTAACTGTAGAAGGGAATTTGTAGAATTACCCATAGTACACGGCTAGAAGACCAAAAGGTCTATCTATCACTTTCTCTTTCAGTTTGAAATACTCGTCAATTTGGCAGCACTGGATTCTTAAGTCCGAATTTTGCTCTGCATTGACGGAAACCCATCTTTATTGCTCCACTTATTATAAACTTCATGTTTTTGAGGTAAATGCTTATAGTAATGTTTATACATACATTTTTTTCGCATTTCAATCTGGTTCTAGGTCCATTATTTTATTGAATTCAACTTCACGCATGGGAAGGACAAAGTAAAGATGGAATTAGATTCATTTGCTTTCAAGTTTTAGTTGTCTCTTTGTTGATCTAAATTCAAGATCTTTTTTTTCAGTTGATCTGCACTGCTCATTTCTTATTTTATTTGGTTAATTTTGATTTTGCACGCCTCTGATATATGCAAATGGTTTATATATCTGATCTTATAACTAAATCCATGTTAACCAGTGAATCATTCACAGAAGATGACTGGAAATTGGTCCAATTGGTGCTTACTTTTTTTCGAAACACACTAGCGATTCAAGATATATCTTCTCAGCAGAAAGTTGGGGGATCTGCTACTCAATTCTTATCCCTTCGAGATAGGTTTCTAAAACTGTTGTTCCAGGAGAATGTGATGGACTTGATCTTAGTTTTATCGCAGCATGCTGGAGGTCCTCATGGCTATCTCCGTCAAGATAATCTGCTTTTATTGGAGACTTTCTTTTACATATTTAAGGGCCAAGAGCCAGAGTTAATTGCTAACACATATTTAAAGGGCCCAAAGGTTGGTCTACTGTTGTTACTTCGAGCTATGTCCCACCACCTCCTATTGACACATGGACAGTAATTATTCTTAGTAAAGTTGGTGTTGCTTTTGAAAATAATAATAATTATACAAAAGTTGGTAGCATAGAACCTTGTTGCAGAAAAGTATAAACTTTATTGTTAGATCTGGTGTACTTAAGCTGTTTTTTGGTTTCTTTCTTTGATTGATCATACTTTTCTTTTTAATCTTTCTATTGTTTGGGTTTATTTGCATGTCTCAGAATCATCTTCCTGTATGACATAGCTATGTTTCTCTAGTTAGTAGTTACTGCAATAAGCAATCTATAGTTTAAAAGTTTAATCAGTTGCCACAGCCAATTTAAGTGCCAATAAAGTTGTGTACAAGTTAGCAGTATATTTTGGATCTCATCTCAGCGAGGACAAAGCCTAAGGATATCTTGTGGGGGAGTGTTTTAACTTTATTATTTAGGTGCTGAATATATGAGGGTTAATTAAAGTTACAGTGGCGTTGGCTAGCAAATGTCCCCATTGCCTCCATAATAAAGTTGCCACTGATATCAAGATGCCAAAACACTCATGTTACACCCACAATGCTAAAAAAATTACTTCCGTGTTGCTTTCTCCCCTGCATCTTTGAGAATTTGATGATGTGTTTTATCTAATAAATTATTACATCAGATTCTTCTTACGTTACCTTGACTTCGAGAACTGCTTAAGCAATGGTGTCAGAGAAACATGTCTATGACTTCAAGAAATACTAGTTTTACTCATCCAGAGACCATCTCCACTTCCTTATATTGCAGTAATCTTAATGTTTTTGGTTCCAACTAGTGATTTCGACTCACAAATAAGTTTTTGGCTGTTTGTTTGTTAATTTATGGAATACTGCTGTCAAATAGCACGCTCCTTTTATAATCTCTCTCTCTCTCCTTCCCTTCTCCACTCCACACGCTCCAATAGAATTTTGCATGCTGTTTTCGTAACAGCACTGTTATTTAGCTGTACATATAATGAATTTTTTTTCATTAGGTGGATGGAGATGCTGAAACTTCTGTTGATGGCCTCCGTTATATTATGGAAGAGGAACGAGAAAAACGAAAGCTCACCAGATTATGCAATCTAAATTGTTACTCACAGTTTAGTGGAACATTTACCCGACTCACCTTGGTACGAGCTTATTACTGTCTCAGTTGCACCAGCAATTTGTATCTGGCTTTAGTAACTTCTTTGTTCTCACACATATAAACAGGATGGTTCTAAAGCATTATTCAAAGGAAATCCCTGTTCTTCTGCTAATGCTTTGCTCAAAGCTAACAAAAATCCCAGAGGTCCGTCAAAAAGAACAATGTGGGACCATGGCGAACTACCGGCAACAAACAATGAAATTCTAAAATTGCTCTATGATTTTATTATCCAGTTTTTAACAGGGGGATACAATGGTAATAGTTATCTATATTTTCTTATTTTGATGAAGCTTAATATATAGTTTCTCTCTTCCTTTTGTATAATGCTGCTGGTGTATGATCTAATTGAACATTCAATTTTCATCAGTTTTGATGCAGTCAGTGCGCGAGGATATTGACAAAGATCATCAAGAAATTGAAAATGGCGATGTCATCATTTTCTTTCAAGTTGCTCGATTTGTCACCTCTTTTCAATATCACAAGTTCTTAATTTTGATGGTAATAAACTATTTTATGGAACTCAAATCCCTTTTTCTTTTCGGTGTATAACATACATTCATTTTGCACTAGTCAACTACCATGCCTTGTGGCATAAGATGGCTGTAATAAGTGAGAAGTACTACCAAGGGGTACATATTCTCTTTTGCAAATTCAATAATTTATTTAAACTTGTGATGCCTTGGCAACTATTTATCAGCTAGACATGATCCTGCTATTTTTCTTCCAATAATATTTATATTCCTGCCTGTGTGTGTTGAGTCGTAGGAAAGAATAAGCACTGATATGTCCGGAATTGATGATTTGCACATTCAGTTCAATACTTTCACATCACAATTTTGATCAAATAAAGAGTACCAACAAATCAGGAAAACCCCAAAAGATTTTAGAAATGCTGCAAATCTCACTAATTTTATTTTTATTTTTTAGCTGTTTATTTGTTTTCAAAATGCTTTTGTTGGCGTGACTTATCTAGATTTTTTTTTTATGGGAGCTCTTTTATGAAGCTTAGTCAAAGGAGTGTGTTATCGAGCCATCAACATAAGGAAAATAATTAATGAGTAAGAGAATTAACTATTAAGCACTAAGGAGATTGAGTTGTTCTTTTCGTCACTTTGGGTTTGTTGGCCAGTCGACAGATTTCTATGTTTTAGGGGTCCGTGGATACACAATTTTTTTACTGGAAGTTTTCCTGTTAATTTAGATTTTATATATACTCGTGCCTCCTTGGGGTTTATCAACAAAAACTTGAGGATGCTAGGAGAGCCTTTGGAGTTGCAACAAATGTATCAATAGGCCTTGTTATTGGGAATTGGCACCTCCATTGTTTAGCAGATATGTAAATAGAAGTTTTTGTAGATGTGATTATTTAGAAGGCTCGAGACTGGTGTAAGGTACAAGAAATTCTTACAAGCACACCTGGACTCGTTCAAAGGAGAAGTTCTGTAATCACAGCCGAGAGTGAGGTTGCCCATAGAGATTTCACAGATGCAGTGAATTGCATCAGGGAAACCTTACAGCATTTATTGTGCAGTAAATGAGAAATACTTCGAACACTCTAGCTTCATTTATGATGTTCTATTTTCTTCTTGGTCACAAGCACGATAGAAGATAATGATGAGATTAGGCTGCTGGCTATCTAGCCCCGTTTATTGGCTGACACAATATGCTTGGAGATCTTGAATTTGAAATAAGGTTGGGAGTCTTCTTCTAATAGCTTAGGCCTGTTCTGTTTACCATTTTCAAGCTGTTTTCAGTTTTCGATTTTCCAAAACAGTGAAAACTCGTTCTCTTTCCAATTTTCGAAAATGCGTTTTTGAAAATAAGTTAAAAATTTGCAAAGAAAACCTAAAACGAAAAATTTGTCATTTTGGGTGTTTTCAATTATAATCAAGTCAATTTTCAAAACACGTTTTGGGTGTTTTCAAAACAATTTTTCAAAATGTCAAAAAGAACACATTTTCAACAATCTCAAAATGGGTACTCAAACACAAAACCTAAATTGAATTCAAAACACAAAACTCAAATACAAAGAGAACAACCCCTTAAGTTTTATTTCTCTCTCTCTCTCTCTCTTGCTAGGCTGGGGTGAGGGGTGGGTGCACAGGAAAGAAGAAATTATATTATTATGGTGTTTGTAATGTAATTTGAATGCGCAGGCCTCTTCTTATCAGTTGTATCCCTAATTTTCAATGCCACTCTCTAGAGTCAAGTTTGATATCTTTTGCACCACACTTTGACAGCCTAGCATTGATTTTGACAATGAAGCGTCGGTAACTCCTCGTGATGGGAGCTCTTTGTTCAAAGGCAATATATGTGGACCAATTGCTGAAACGCTTAACGAGTCAATGTTCCAACTAGTCATTTCGAAATGGCGTTACGCATATGATGGTTTGAAGGTGACTAACGACTATAAACTTCTTTCAGCAGCGGGATCGCTTATGAAAACTCTGGTAAGATATTTTCCGCTATTTTCTTACTTATTTGTTCAAGAGTTCATTGAAAAAAAAATAACATGCACGTGCTAATGTAATATTTAGTTTTCCATTCCCAAACATAAGCGTTAACTTGCTCATCAGTTTCAGATAATACCTGCATAGATGCGAAGTTGTGTTTTTTTGTTCTTTTTTCTTTCTTTATCGATATCAGCTGAATGCGGGTTTGCAGCATTCAAATTATTAGCATTTTCTAACATGTCACATTTCAGAGACAGACATAAAGTGTGGTTGCTTTTATCATATTCTAGGATATTTATTGGAACAAACACATTGGCTCACTTGCGTTGTTATGCTCCATTACATCCAATTGCCTTAGGTTTACTGGTACCACCTTCATCTCCGAGGTCATTTTAATACCATTATTATAACATAAGCTTAACTGTTTCTGTATTGCCTCTTCCATCTATTTCATCCTTCTTGCCATGGGTTTATGCCTTTAGCCCTCTTCCATATATCTGCCCTGTTTCCTTTCTCTATATGCATTTCTGCAGCTATCTTTCTCATTACATAAAGAACTTCCATTTTAAGTTGATATCTTCCTGCTCTCGAGGTGGTTCCCAAAGACACTAGCATTACTTGATTTGATTGGCTAGTAACTGCAGATACAACAACAATCTAATTGTGTTGGATCCTTCTTCGCTTGCTTGTTCTACTAGAATATCTAAAGCAACTAGATCCAGCAATTATCCCAAGCGAAGTCAATTTTAGTCTCCCCCTCCCTCTTCTATCTTGCTCAACTGGAATTGCACCACTTCTTATGAATGGAGGTCGCTTTAGGTCGACATAAAACACAACCCAACCACTTCAGTTTTCCTCCCCTTCAGTTTTCCTTCTTTTGGGGGTGTTGGAAATATTCGTTATCTAGGGGATGAATATTTTCTCTTCTATTTCTGTGGTTAACATATTTTACTGTTCTCTCTGTTCATTGAGCTAGATTATTACCCTGTAAAGCGTGATATCACTTCTCATGCATATTATTCTGCAACCCTAGTTTCCCAACTTATAGTTTTAATTACTGTTATTTGATAGAAAACGCATGCTCATAGAATATTGTAATTCCTCAAGAAAATTGCTATCTTGGTTGTCTTGTTCATCGCCTACAGCTAAGGTTGTTTTATATTATTGCACCTCTTTAAAGGAGACAATCATGTTATCTGCAGATACGTATGCTGGATTTAGTTCTCAAGCAGTCCCCAGAAGACGCTCAGGAGTTTCAGATAGCTCGCATCCTTCTATACAAGTTATTCTATGATCAAACCGAAGAAGGGATGACTCAATTTCTTTTGAACCTGATCAAATCATTTGATACTCATAAGCAGTCCAAAAGGTTTCACTCTTTTATAACCTATAGTTCTTTTCTTTCACCTAACTGCAACCCTGCTTGCTCTCAACTCCTTGGTTTTCATGGATTGACATGGAAATCAAAGTTTTCCTAGTGAGAAATGCAGATTAAAGTATTAGAGCAGCCAGAATTTGCTAGTAAATTTGGATATAGTATGTCAGAGGTAGGATCACTCAGAGACCTGATGTCCTAGTGCACACTCCAGGGCTAATTGGAGTGCTTGGAGTTGATAAAAAAATAATTTGTAAATTTTGTTAGCCAAATTTGTGCATGTTCTAGGTGGCAAACGAGTTGATTTTACCAATTCAGTCAAGTGGACTGTATCATGCATGCGTCTAAAGACTACCTGAATAATATCAAGTCTAAGCTGAGCCGCCTTCTAGCAGAGAGATTGTTGAATGTATCCATGGAAGCATTTGTCTCTTTCAACAAGCCAAAAGCTGTACTTGTTTGGAGCTGTAGCTCATTTTCTTCAGAGATAAATTTGAATTGCTGATAAATCAAATTGAGATGACTCAGTATTCTGCATCAACATGGCAATTAGTTTTCTCATCAAGACAATAGACCTTTTATCTTAAACTTCTACCCATGTTTTATGGTATATTATTAATATTTATCACCTATTTTTTATACATAACTTAAGCATTAAATAAATCTTTACTATCGTGACAACATTTTTATTTCTCTTTACATATTATTTATATTTATTATTTATTTTTAATGATGCTATAAAGTCTTTCTCACACCTCTAATTCTTGATGTTGCTGTTACTCTTTTATTTTCCTATCTCGTCCCTCCATTCAATGTGCGAATCTAAGCTCAACTATCCTATGCAACTGAGCATGGAGATGCAAGCTACAAAAGTAATATCCATCTATCACATGCATGCATTCGACCTGATGTGTGATTTTAGTTTATAAATTCTACGTCTCACGTCCATCCATCTTTGTTTACTTGAATTTCTGATTGTTGATTAAATTTTATGTATTTCCATTACAGATATCAGATAACAAGGTTTATTATGTATGCGATTTTGATAAAAATACGGATTTTGCTAGGAACTTCTGATTAGGCTGATTGCTGTAGCATTGATCTGCAATGAGCATCGGCTCAAATATTTTTTTAATGGAATATGCACATTTTATAAAAGCATGATACACACGTAGGCACAAATTGAAGTTAGTTTAGAAAACGTAATCTTACCTGGCTAATCATTACCTTTGATGTTCAAGATGTCTGGCTAATGTTGCGATTCTTTTCTTTCCAGTGATCTTGCCAACTTGGTGGAAACTATACATGTAGTTCTACGACTCATGGAGAACCTTCAAGCACGTGGCACATTAAGGGTATGCCTTATTTAACTTTCGTGTTACTCTGAGCAGTTTGTGTACTTCCGTTCGTATATGCAGCGTTGTTTAATTTCTCTTTCCGCTCTTTTAGTATTTTGAGATAGTCACACTCCATATTACAAGTGGTTTATTGGATTCAACTTCTAGTTTTGAAAATACATGTCAATACATTTATTAGTAGTTCAGGTCAGTTCACACATTTATTTTTTGGACTTGAACCTATAGGTTTGGGCTTCTAAAATATCTTTTCTACCATTTTTTTCTTATTTTATCTGTTGATTCTACTAATGATTCCGTAGACTTTCTCCAACAAGATTCAGATTTTGAAGAGGAGTGTACTGTTTCGTTAATTTTCATTCAATCATACACATTTTAGAGAGCTATATTTTAGATGAATAATTTGAGTTTAAATTGTATGACTTCCCAAATTGTAGTATTGGGTGAGAATTTTTCTTTGCGCAGGTATTTGACCACAAATAAAAAGATCATATCAAATATTGTTTCAGTAAGAACGGTAGAATTCGCCACAAATGTCAAATAAGGATCATGTTCAGCTTGGAAAAGCTCAACTCAATTCAACGAAGCCTTAGCCCATACGGCCACACTTATTTTGGAGGTGGCTTCTAGGATCCTCGATTTTCACTCCCCTCTTTCCAGGCTATCTTTAAATTAAACCAAAAATCTTTGAGTCATGTGTTTTTACTTTTTACATCGACACTTAGGGCATGTTCGGTAGAGGTTAAAATCGGATTAAAATTGAAAAACTAATTGTTCTTGTTGACTTTTATTAAAGGAGTGAGATCCAATAACGACTATATTTTCAATTTTAATTGGATTTTAAGATTAGCCAAACATGCTCTTACTCTAGGCGGATTGTGCTGATTTATAGTTAAGGAAAATTTACTGAAATTTCCTTTGAAGAATTACTAGAAAAAATTATTATAGTGGTTAAATCGTGTAATATTTTCCAGAAATTTGATGTAGTTGTCATGGAGTAATATGATATATATTATTTTTATGTATGGTTGGAAAACTAAATGTGCACAGAATAAACATCATGAAAGGAGATTGTCGAAGAGTGTTCCTATCTATACATGTTGCAAGCCTCTTAAATAATGGCATGAAAGATGAAAAATCATATAATTATTACTCTTAATGTATGTTTTTTAACCTTTAATGATATAATAAAGCCAACTTCCTCACGCAAAATTTTCTCTATTGGGTTCTAAAAGACCCTATTGAGGAACTTTTATTTCTTTTCCTATTTTCTATTTGTAGATATTATCACTTGAAATTTAAGAAGTCAATTATCATTATCAACATGCAGCATATGTGCTTATAGTAGTAAAATATCAAGTAGAACTGATTTTGGTTGTCCCTTTACCTGAATTTTGTTTTCCTAAATTTATTATAGCATATTGAGAGTGACAGACCTGGTGATTAACGTTGTATCGATCACATGTTTCTAATAAATGCTTTTCTCAATTTGTTTTCTACTATGAGAATTTATTATACCTTACAATTGAAGAGAGGCTTGGTTGGTTTTTTAGTTGTGAAAGTCACTGCTATCCTGAGAATCCTGAGGCTTGAGCATACTATTAACTATTGTAGTCTTGGACTGCCCATTAGTGCAAGTTAGAGTTCATACATTTTTTAGATTGTCGGATATTGTGGTGTTGATAACCAAATTCGAAAAAATTAATTTGTCACATCACTAACAACTTAAGCTTTTAAATGAGGTGACTTGGCTTAACTTGCATTTCATGACCGATTCTCTTAGTAACCTTTTTTCTATGGGTTTTGTAAGCATGATTATCTTTCACTATTCCTTGTCTCTATGAAATACCACAATATAAGAGCTTGTTTGAACCCCATTTTTTTTGCCAAAATGTATTTTGGAATAGTATTTTGATGGTGAATGTGCTGTTAAAAAATAAGAAAAAATTTTGGGTTTGCGCGTAATATTATTTTATTGAATAATGTGTGGTTGAAAATAAAAGAGAGAAAAATGTATTTTGAAAATAATGGGGACCAAACAAGGGCGAAGTGAGCAGTGATTTTTTACTCCATCACCATTATATGTAGATTTATGTTTTGTACTTGATAAACATTGTTCTCTAGTGGGAAAGCTTTTGTTACAATGTCAATATGTATAATTGGAATTCTTGCCGTGGCTAAGGTTTCCAAAAAGTCGAGGAAGAGAAGAATGAAGACAGCTATGAACAGCAAGAATGATAATGCTAATGAACCAAGTGTAGATAATTCTACTGCTCAGAATGAGGTTGGTGGCTCAACTTGTGAAGAATCTGTGGATGCAAATGTGCCAAGTAGGGAAAAGTTGATAAACCATGATTGTGACGGAGAGGAAGATACCAGAAACCCTGTTCAGGTTGCTGAACCTGTAATATCGGAGTCAAAACAGTTGAATCTTGGAAGCAATGAATCAGAGATGGAAGGAACAAATAGGAATGATACTAATGACGATCTTTATCTTGGAACCGATGATTCTTCTGGTGATGAGCAGCCAGCATTGATAGATGAAGTTGATTTTAAGGTATCTTCTTTGGTTTCCGCTTTTGCAAACAATACCATCATCCGGAATCTGTGTTGGCTGCTGAAGTTCTATAAAAGCAATTCCATCAGCACAAATCATTATATTATAAGCATTCTTAGGAGGATCTGCGATGATTTGGAACTTTCTCCAATGCTATACCAGGTGGATGAAACCAATATTATTGTAACTATTTTAGCTCTAGTAATTTGTAAAACAAGACTAAGATAGAGTAGAAACTCATTTAACTTATTCTGAACAACTTTACAGTTATCATTCCTGACAATATTCTACGATATCCTGGATGAGCAGAAGTCAAAACCAGTCAAAGAATATGAGAATGTTGTTACCTTCTTGACAACTTTGATTAGGAGAATGCTAAGGAAAATGAAAAGTTATCCCTTTCTTTTCGTAGAAGTTCTGTTTTGGAAGACACGAAAAGAATGCCAGTACATCAACTGTGGAACTATGCTAAATGAGCTTAGTGGTTTGAGGAATGAAAATGGAAAGGGCAGAAATGTTGCTTCAAATGGAGAAAGTGGTTTCTTTGAAGGACAAAGATGGGTGCGCAGAAGCATAGCTGATGCTCTAGGTGACGATGATTTTGTGATACCAAGCCATGATGGCAAAGTGTAAGATACTTCTATAAACTTTAAATGGTTGGATTTTTTATATTTGTAACTTTAAATGGTGGATATTTGTCCAAGTCATATATTCTAGTGTAGTCCCCTAAGCTTGAAACATTTTTACTCTCTGAAGTTTAAATGGAAGCCCACAACGAGTTTTAGCATCTTAGCTATGTTTTATTTTTTATTTTGGTATGCCTTTCTTGGAATAAGCATTGAATTGAACGCTATTGAAAGTTGACAAAAAATATTTCCCTTTTGTCTGAGATTATCATCACAATGAATGATGACAGGGACGAGGATCCTTATGAAGCCAAATTACAGAAGGCCACGAGTTTGGGAGAAGGAAAGGAACGCACCAAACCAACTGTCGATAAAGGGATTCATGGGAGGCAAAATCTTGATGGGTATGGTCTTGACCTATGTTTCTGACTTGTATAAGATTCTAAGTTGAAAAATTTCCCCTGTTTCTTCAATTCAGGGTGGAGAACTCTGGTGACAAAGAGCCTGAAAGGCTGTCCAAAAGACGAAAGCCCCTGGTTCTAAATAATGAACTAGAGGGGAAAATTAAGGATCTCTATGAGAAGTAAGAGTATCACAATGCATTTGTTATATCAACAATGATTCTTTATGAAATTTTTAGATTATTAGAAGAAATGATTGTCTACATCATACTGACTTTGGTCCTACTGATTTGAAAGAATGAAGTGAAATAGTGCTTAACCTTACCTTCAGTTGTGTGTTTTTATATTGTAAGGACCCCACCGTAACACACTTTGAAACATTATTCTACTTCAGAAATGCCATGTTCTATTTACCTTGTTGTTATGAGCTTTAGACCTACCTTTGTATGCGCTTTCATATTGCAATATGAAACTGTTTTGTTTACCTGATCTCTGGCCATTCCAGATATAAGGATCATGAACACTGTTGTCATCTCATTGCTCAAGAGCTCGACCCAAATGGAGCAATTTCACAAATTCAGGTTTCCAAAACACTTAAACAGCTTGGAATTAAAGTCCCACCTAAGAAAAAGATGCAACACTCTGGTGCCTCTGATCAACTTAGGGATAATGATAGTGATCTTCAAAAGGATGCAACTCAACCTAATTTAACCGTTTTAGAAGAAGGTTTATCTTCGAGAAAGCCTCTGTAAGTGACTGTTTCAGGCTTTTTAAACGTTCTCTCACTCTCCAGCCTGTTTCATTTAATATAATCTTCAATATTTCAATGTTGAACATGATTTAGGACGGGCTTCATTATCTTATTGCTTTATTGTCCATGTCCTTCCTCTCAGGCACTCTAGAAAAAGGGTACGTGCATTTAGTGAAGATCAAGAGCAGAAGATTAAAGATTTGTTTGAGCAGTAAGCACTTGATTGGCATCATAATTTAAGTTTTTTTCTATTTTAAGCTTAAATAACTAGAATGCAGCAAACTTTGGGTTCATTTTTTGTAGAAAATTCACAGAACATGTTAATGTTAAAGCTAAATATATGTTGCATTTATTCGTGAAGGTTCAAAGATCAAAAGAGGTCCAGCTACTTGATTGCTAGTGCACTGGACTCAACAGGCACAATCTCTGCAGCTAAGGTTTCTCGCAAACTCAAGCAGCTTGGTCTCATTGTACCCAAGAGAAAAAAGTCCGATACCAACTTACATTTGAGGGAGGAAGGTTACATTTCTTCAGAAGGTGCAGGCAGTTCTGATGATGAAACATTATTTTCACTGAGAAGGTAAGTTCGAATTATTACATGTCTTTGAATGTAAAGATTTACTTGTTGGGCTGAAAACAGAATTGCATGTGTGCATTTCTCAATTTCTGTAGCCTTGAGGGCAGAATTGGGGCACGGTCCTCTGATCTTTTCTTCACAAGAATATTAGTTCTCTTGACGTTTTCCCAACTAACCAATTCCATTATGCTGTTTTCTTGGGCATCACCCTTTACAGAGCCTCTTAGCTACAATATCTGCGACATTGTGGTCTGCAACTTTATTTTTATTAAGCTTAGTTTGTGCTTCTTTCAGTTATTTGTATATCTCTTAATTAGCTTCAATATTGCAATTTCAAAATCCATCATTGCTATGATGATAGTCCATTTTTTAACTGCTTGGCTACTTTCTTTTCAGTTACTTGTCAATCTGTGATTTAATATCTAATACATACATTGCCTTTTTCTCGTTGACATTTCCCTAAAACTTGCCTTACACAGCCAGGTATTCTATGCTATCGGCACCATTTTGATTTAATCTTTGTTTTCCTTGTCAATGTTTTACGGCTGGTTGGAGTTTCAAATATCAAATGACCTATGAGTTGAGAAAGTTGAACTAGTTTCATTTTCAAAGAAGGAAAACAAGACATTTTTGAACTATGCTATTACACTATCACAGTTCGTTAACGCTATCTCAAGGCAATAAGTATTATCGGTCACCATAACTTTTTCCCAGGCACAATTCCTTTTCTATTTGCAAATAATCCTCTAAGGAACTGAGCAACAATGAACAAATATTGTGACTATCTTTTTTATTCTTATCAAACATAATATTCAACCAGATGTGTGATCAGAAGATTTGGAACCTCATCTTGTTTATGCGCTTTTAGGGGCAAACATCAAGGAATTAATTATGATGAGAGGCAAAACCAGAAGATTGCAAGTATATCATCAGAAAATGTCCCTGATGATGAATTGCTTAGCTCAATGTTGGCGTATGTCTCTCTACTTCTTAATGATTCTAGAATCTTTCACACCATTCTGGTTGTGTTTGCATCTATAAATTCACAGAAGGGTGTTCAAATTAGGTGTATTTTAGAAAATTTATTTACTGTTAAGGTGTATTATTCTGTAGTTCTTATGTTAATAATCATGAACTAATGTAGGGTGCCATATTATCAAACCCACCCATTACACAAATTCAGGGCCATATTTTATAGGCATTTGTGAGGCAGAACTGATTCTTACTTGTATCTAAGGCATAGTGTGATTGACAGATCTTGAGTTGTTTAGTAGCAATTGCCTTCTGTCTTATTTCAGCATCTACAAAATTGTAAATCAAATATTTGAACACCGAAATAATCTTTGCTACTAAAGAAAAATAGAAAATTATAGATTGCTAGCCTTCCTGTTCCCCGTTTTCTAATAGAAAAAATGCTACGACAAACTGTATTTATGTTCTGTTCTTATTGCTTACCTACAAATCTTCTAAAGCTTGTAGTAGCCCTACAAGATTTATATAGGTTACTCTTGATGTTTTCAATTTACTGATGCTGCTACTTACGATTGTAAACTTCAATTTACTTATATCGTGTTCTGTTATAATCATACGTTTTAAACTTATAGTGATAAGATTTTACATAGTTGCATAGAATGCAAGAATTACCTCCTGAATTCTACTTAGGAATCCAGAACAGGTTATTTATTAGCTTCACAGATTTGTGTTCTTCTGTCAGTTGGAGTTACTAGAAACATTATTGGCTTCTTTTGAAGGGACTTCCCTCAATTCAAACTCTGCTTGAGGATGTATTGCTGTACTAGAATTTAAATCAATGAATAGAGGATTATTGTTAAACCCTGTTCATTTTGCTAATGCTCGGTTATTTGCTTTTGTTGTTTATTGTATAATATTTCAATCTTAATGCAGAAAAACAAGAAAAATGTTACCGAAGAGTTATGATGACTCTTCATGCAGAGAGACTGAAGTATCAGAAACGTAAGTTAATAAATTTTTAGTAATATTCTTTTAAATGACAAAGGTCGAAGATGTATTGGATTTGGGGGGACATCAACTATGGATGTGGCTTTTAGTGTTTCTATACAGTATACTCCAATCACTAGTGCTCTGAGGATTTCGGACTTCTAGGATAATGAATATAGGGTTTCAAAATTCTCATCCATTACTCTGTTTTTTAGATCAACCTATAGCCTAGTGGAAGCTGCTATAGGTGTAGCCAATTGAGCGAACTAGGCAAAAATAGACTCCCATAATATTTTTGCCCCTAAATTTCACCCTTGGAATAATGAATAAGCCATCTACTTTCAGGCACAAGCTCTTGTATTTTCTCCCAATTTTACATATTCTTTTTCAGTCTTCTTGACGTAACCTTGTAAAAATTTCACATTGATCTATCAATTGTGCACGGAATGTTGCATTTTTTTTATTCTTTTTTTGCATCAGATTTTATTTAAGATCTGCTTGGCTGATATGCTTATACCATCTTACACATGCATTCTAGTTGCACCTCTATGCTCATGGCAAATGTCTAGTGTTGTAGCTGTATTTAGGTTTTATTTATGATATACCATTGAGTTTAAAGCCTACATGCAAGAGGGACTTATATCATGTGTGGGCATTATTTTGAACGCCAACATTGTTTTCTCCTTTACTTTTTAATGTTCATAAACTACAATATTGCTTGGAAAACAAAAGCGAAGTCAGTCTAGATTTGATTCATACTTCACCATAGGTTCTTGTACCACAACTTCTTATAACCTTTTCATTTGATTCATACATCACCATAGGTTCTTGTACCACTTGGCAACACCCAACTCATTTTATTATGTCTAGATTTCTTGGACAGTATTTGAAAATGCCTTCTCTGAATGATGCTAAAACTACTATTCTCCAGGGATGAATTTGGTCAATCCAATCAGATGGAAACTGAAGAAATCAACACTATGATGGCAAATCATTCCAGCGATGCAGAACCCCACCTGATTGGTACAAACAGTTTAAAACAATCAGATGCCATGTCTTTTGAGAAAGATGACCTTTCGCAGGATCCACACCTTGATGAGTTGGCAGATTCTGATGCGGATCCCGATACTACCAGGGAAAATGTTCCATCAAGAAGGCGGCTAAGGATGGTAATTGATTTTGAGGATGACGAATAGATTGCGGGCACTCTAGACCTTGTTCGCTTAATGTCTTGTATAAATAGTGTTTTTGTACAATAAACGAACACATTTGGATGAGGACTGAATTGTGGAACATCTTTTTACGAATGGAAGTCTGTCATTGTTTCATATTTAAAGGTAAAACTTGATTTCATGAATTGCAAATTTATAGTGATATAGTGAGCTAGATGATTTCTTATGTTGGCTACCAAGCTAATGCAGCTCTCCTCCTTTACCTACACTTAAGAGATGCTATGAAATTTATAAGAGTTGTCAAGTGTCTTGCGCATTGAAATTTTTATAATTGGGCGATGGTAACACCTCGAATCCGAGATTCTGATAGCACTGTGATGTCTTTAGACGATGTATTTCAACAATCACATAATAGGTCAAACAGCTGTTGACATAATAAAATTTACGACCACCTGCTGCATAAGACTGCTGTGTACATGATGTGATTTTCTTCCTCCAATAAACACTGAACAATAGGCAGATAGCTAGGATACATGTAATATGGGGTCAAAATCAAATCAACTTTCCTTCTCTGGGGATAGATAATTAGAACATTAAAAAAATACAAATTTTCTGATCCTAACACAAACATTTTCTATTCCCATTTGACTAAATTATCTTCGTGACATTGTGGAATAACTACATGTTGCGGGAGATGGTGGATGAGTAGTGACTGTGAAGGAGCTGATCTGATTGAAATCTCACTTCATGGCTTTGTACACGTGATCTAGGCCTTCTTCGATTAACTCGAGAACTGTCTGAGGGGTCGATGTCATATTAATGTTGACCAATCCTTCCAACATCTTCACAACTTTCCCCATCATTGGCCTCATCGAAATCTCGTCTTTAATATACCAAAATGCTACTTTTAAAGCTCTCATGAGTTCTTCTTCGTCAAATGCTCCTTCGAGCCGTCTATCCGCAACTTTTGTTGGTGCCCCATTTGCCAACTTCTGGAGATACAAACATTCATGTGATCACTTGCAGAATAACATAACGGTCAATTTTCTACGCAAGCTTGTGGACCGTGCAGAGATTAATTATACTATAAATTTGTCTCCTCGACCATGAAAAGTTTGGATTTAGGGTGTTGTTTTTTGGCAATAGATAGATAAAGGTCTGAGATCACCATTGTAATCCTTTTTACATTTTCAAAATGGAAACCTGGAGTAGCAAGTAGACGCAACTCTCAATTTGAGTGCTCTGATTTCGTTTGGCTTAATATTGTTCTCGTAATTGGGATTAAGGCTTAATCTCAAACAAAGATGCTTAACTTCAATTTCTAAACTATGTTTATCGTGTACTTCAAATTTAGGGGGAACTAGTTGAGTATACCTTGAATGCCCATCCAGGATAAAAGAAGCCCTTCTCGTCAAATCTAGATTTCTCCGGCCATCAATTATCTCAAATGTTTACAGCATCCCATAGCTGTAATTGTAAACATCAGCTTTCACAGTCATTGGGCGGTTGTTGACCAATTCTGGGGCTAAGTAACCTCGCGTCCCACTTACCATTGTGACGACCTGGGAGTGCTCTCGTCCCATCATTTTAGCTAGTCCCAAATCTGGTACTTTCGGACAGAAATTCTCGTCCCCAGTAAAGTTTGATATCTCAGGTCCGAACCAGTAGGACAAGTTTGTGTAAGAATCAGGCGACATGTCGTACCACTTAAGCAAATTGTAGGTCAATGCAAGACTTGGTGAAGTGCGCTACTGTAACATTTTCAGTGCGTAGTAACCACCACGTGAAGGCGATTTTGAAGATTTGAGCTCGAGAGAAACTGTCAAAGGTTGTCCTGGTAGGAGAGTATCTGATGGACGTGAAAAGCTTTCCCATGCAATGCGTTGATCAGCACCATATAGAATGACATTGCCATTTTCAGACATGACGGCTGTTTTGGCGCCAGAGTTCGGGGTATTTGATGTCCAGACAGTGGTGTCTTTATCAACGAGCACGAGATTTCCATTGGTTTCGAACTCCAATGTATAACTAGATGTTGATTTTGACAGAAAAAGTTACATATTACACTAACTATTAGAAAATCATGTTTCGCATAAATCTTCGAATTCCCAATGAAATAAACTATCTTCAGTGTCACACAAGCGAATAAAAAATTGATTACGGTTAACTTAATTATTGGTACATATATAACTTACACAAGTAAATGCATCATTCGTGCATATTATGCATGATTAAGAAAAGATTTATTAATTAAAACAAAGGCTGCACACAAATTCATTCATGTCTTTGCCTTGATATATACTAATAAAACCAGTAAATAAGCAAGTTTTAAAGCAAGATAATTCTTTCATTGGTCAAGAAACAAGAATTTACTTAAAAGTGCCAAACATGGTGTGCTTAACAATAAGCAGAACGATAATACGTTAGGGTCCAATCGAGTAGTTGTTTCTAGAGCATTTATTTTGTTAGCATCATAATGAATGAGACTCCGGGTACAATAGTGCCTATATAATATGGGTTAACGACGAAAAGAAATTGAATTTTTTTTATTTAGTTAGTGAGATCTTAATTCAGTCAAATCTCATCACATCATCTGTATATATATATCATCGGATACAAAAGGAGATTGAAATTTGGATTTTTTGTCACGTAGTTATAACAACAAATTGAGAAATAGATAAGAAAATGTCAAGGAAACTTGGTTGAGTACTTTTAAGTTTGATCGTATGAAAAATACTAAGTTTGAAACTTTATTTTTTTTATATTTTCACTTAATTAGTTTTTTAATTTAAAATAATACTAATAGGGATTAATTGCAATTATCTTCATTCTCATCCGCACACGGTATATAATTTGTAACTCCTCAACCACTTCGTAAATTGACATCTCATAATTTTATCATTTAAAAAACATATAATCACCAACCCCCATGAAATCAAACGCTTTAATTCTAGAACAAACTAGAAGAGATGGTAGACTATAATGGAGTTGCGAAAAATATTCATGTAGTCGACCCACTTTACAAGAATCGTGTAATTCTTAGAACCTGTCATGATAAATCCAGCGATATATTGGTGATTAGTATATAATGCAGCTTGTGCCCATCAAAGGACCTCGAGATGCTAATCCACGAAAAACGATACGAGAAATTCTAAAAAACTAATATATAGGACGAGGGCGACCCGTGAAAATACATCGGTTTCTTATTCGTGCAAGGGAACTATTTCTTGACAACTTGGACAACTTATAACGATGTTTGTCCCGCATATCACTAGGAAGATTGGGATCTTTACAAAAGGCTTTATAAAAGGAAAAAATAAAAAAGAAGGCATTTTGCCCTTGTTTGGCTGTGTACTAGACAGCACTGCACCGTCAAATAAACAATATTTTTTAACTTATTTTTTTCTTTCTTAATCCCATCCACAGTATCCTATGTACATTCGAGACATGTCATTTGTCTTTTGGGGGAAGCGATTGGTACGAAGTCACTTCTGAGTACTAATATCTGCCTCCTACAGGCTTCCCTAATGTCTGTATACTCTCATCAGTTTATGAGACATGAGGGGGACCTTTGTCTGGTATTTTTGTTTGTCTATGTTGTTTGCTAGTTGTAATAATAACTTTTTTTTTTAATGAAAAAGACAATTCTGTGCATTAACAACTGAGAAAAGCACTAGGAATTACAACCACTCGGTTGGTAGTGGATGTAAAAGCTTGAAATTTCCATACCAAGAAAACTTGCTGATATTTTCCATGTTCAGGTTTCCCATTTTATCATTGCAATTGATGCTAGGACCTTACTTGGTGTACATAAAGGTGTCCATTCCCTCACATAGGATGGGACTCACAAAAACCCATATGTACACTTTTTTATGTACATCATAATTCTCGATACTATATATTGAAATATCTGAGAATAGGTTTAAAAACTTGGTTTATGTTTGAACTTTGTACTTTGCTATGCAGAAGTACTAACGTGCAAGTTACTTGACCAAGTTTTGATTGAAAAAAAAATAAAATAATAAAAAAAAGTTCAGTGATCATTTTCCAACCAGCATATAAGTTTAGGGACTAACTAACTTCTTTGCGTGATAATTTTTATACATTGCGATTTGAGTCCTCTATATTGTGATTTTAGTTAGTTAGTTTCAACTTCCAAGTAATAATTGGATGATCCATAATAAAAACCAACCATTTCTTTAAATACTTTTTTTTTTCTCCTCCTAATATTTCGTAACACCATTTGTGTAATTTAGCAGCTCAACGTACCACATCCTCCCTAACTCCCACCTGAACCCCACCTCAACCATGTAATGTAGGCAAGAGTTCGGTAGGGGTGACGAGGGTGATGGAGGTGGTGATAGAGATGGGGAGTAGAAGCAAGAGGTGGAGTAGTGTGACGGTGGAGGGTGATGGTAGGGTTCTAGTTTATTAAAAAATAAAAATTAAAAAAATTGGGAAATTGTTTGAAATATTAGAATTTTTAAAATTTAAATTGAATAATCCATAAATAAAGAGATTAGAAAAATATAAAATAGACGTATATTTTGAAGGTCCCAAATTCAAATATCTTTTGTATTGCAGTATCCCATTTCCACATTTTGTAACACCACAATATTCATGAAATATCACATTCATGTGGTCTATCCAAATATATCATATAGAGTATGACAATTATTAGATTTTAGACACATAACATGCTACGAATATCTTTAGGGCATGTTTGTTACAACCGTGAATTGCATAGAATTAGACAAAATAACTCAAAATATTTATTTAATATATTTCTTTTCAATCTCTCTCTCTCTCTCACACACATATAGTATTTTGATTGGAATTGGAATAAGTTTCCAATATGTGCGTTGATTGGGCACGAATTTTGAAATGTAAATGGTTCATATCAAAGAGTTGTTTCGAATGGGTGTTATCTTTTGATAAGGAACGATCTAAACTATCAATTTTGAAATAGTGTCATCTAATGATTGAAATTATTTTGACCATAAGATGTGACCCTTCGAAGAGACACATACAAATCTATAAATAGAGACCTTAATTTAGTTCGAATTTTTTCTACTCCATTTCTCTCTCACACACACACTCTCTCTAAATTCTGTCAAAATAATTTTCATATTATTTTGAGTTTCATGTTGACATTCGTTATTCGATATCTTTCTTTTTAGAAGAGTAAGTCAAGCGTTGGTTTGCCCGACAAAATTAATATTGTGCTATATTAAATTTGGAAGAAGTGTTGTATCTTGGGAGACTAACGTCCATTTGATCACGTTAGCACCAATGCATTATGCAGGGGACGAAATCAAGCTCAAGGATATTTGTATTCGCATACTTCGCTTTATTTCATCTCCTTCGAATTTTTACATTTTCTACATTTGAATAAGTCGTGATTTGATCATTATTATTCACGTACCATGATTTCAATAAGTCGTTACTTCATTCATACTTGCATGCATTTATATTTTTGTTACCAAAATATAATTTATATACTGATTTATCCAACATTTTCTAAGCCATGTGTTCTTCGGGAACATATGAACTAAAGAATCGTGGTGTAATATTGGTGTTGAAGAGATTATTTGAAATGCGGATTCATGACGTCTTATGTATAAAGAAGATTTTAGATAAAATGGTATCCTAGCCATATAAATGCTTATCTGCAAAATATTGTGCAGGTTTAAGATTTGAAAGAAAGATGAATACAAGGAATGTTAAAGATAGGACTTAAATAAATAGTAAATACATAGGACATTATTTAATTTCATCTTGAAATTGGTTATGGGCGGCAGTAGTTGGTGCGTAAGCATCATAATGTGGGTAATAATTCATCAAAAAGCATGTTACCAAACCCATATATGGAACTTTTATTAAGCAAATTGCATAAAGTGACAAGAAAAGCAAGCAAAGCAAGTCAAAGGTCTGTCAAGAATTAATTTATCACAATTAGTTCAGGTTTTCTTTTCATGAATGCATATGGCTCTCCTCTGATCATTCACTATCTTTGANATATATATATATATATATATTAGTATGTATTATTAGATTCGTCTTTCCAAGTTGACCCTTGATGTTTGAGATGGACCAAGAACAATTCCTTGCTATCAAGAGGATGAGCTAAATAAATGAATGATGAGGGCATGACGAAAGTACACGAGAGTCGAAACTTTGATGAACATGAATATTTTGATTAAGTCTCGAGTGTCTTAGCACCACAGTTTGCACTAGTAAACTATGCAGGTTAAATATACCATGAATCATTATTTAGACTCGAATTAAAGGGCGGGATGATATATATCTTAGCCCTTGTTTAATGTAGAATAATTAGTCTAAAAATTATTTATTTGATGAAATATGTGATTGCAAAGTCATGAATTATATAAAATGTATGATTAAAATTAATTATTTTAAATTTTAATCTATACCAAACGAAGGTTTAATACGTAAAATGAATTCTTGTGGGGCTAGCATTCAAGTCCCTACTCCCTTCTCTTTCATTTTCAATTATTAATTATACTTGTCTGAGGTCAAAACACCACATACATAATTGTCATAATAGTAAGAAAATACAAAATATATTCGATACATACATACATTTTACATACACGTTTACACACACACACACACACAAACAGAGAAACAAACTCAAATGGTAAGGATCCTACTTTGTATACCTTAAAACTCAGTTTTTCTTTTCACTCATTCTTTACAAAACCCATAAAACATCTGCCATGGAAACTACCGAATCTCCCTCTACTGAGAGCTTTTCATATAGTTGGCTAGCTAATTTCCAGTCATCGATTTTCAACGATTCATTTCGATCCTCTATTGACGGTCCTGATCAAGATGATCAAGCTTCTTTCATTGAAATGGATCCAAGATTACCACCTTCAAAAAGATTTTTCAGAGTTCCACAAGATTTTAGCTTTGATTTTCCCATATCAGAACCTCCTCTATCCCTTGTTCATGCTGATGAACTCATTTCCAATGGCTTCCTTACGCCTGCTTTTGTCAAAGATTTGAATATGGAAATTGAAAAATATGATGCTCAAAACTCCTCCATATCAACTACGCCTACGCCCTCTAGCAGTAGGGTTAGTCGTGCTGATGCCGCGTTTTTCTGTAGTGCTTTGAGAAAATGTAAGAGATTATCGAAGCATTTGCTTCGAAAATATTTGAATGTTTTTAAGCTGATCTGTCAAAGAATGAGAGGGAGTCGTTCTAGACTTGGGAGTAGTAGTAATATGAAAATGCATGAACTGAATGGCTGGGATTTTTCACAGGCTACATCTCCAAGAACTAGTGTAGCTTATTCTGCAGATAATTGGCGCCGGTCTTGTGATTCTGAGAGCTCCATTTATGAAGCAGTTCTTCACTGTAAAAGAACCCAAGGTACGTTCAACTATCTCATCTAAAAGTAGTTAGGCGATGATGAAACTTGGACCTTTTTGTCTGTTCTTTTCATCTTGAACCACACTTCTAAAAGTTTAAGTTGCATGGATAGGGTTCACTTGCAGCTTCTAACATATTGTCATATTAGGATAATTTCCATAGATTGTAATATTCTTGAGAACTTCGGTTATTTCAGGTCGGTAAACTGAGCTGCTTTTATCTGAGAATTATGGACCGACGGGGGGAGATGGAAACAGGAGAAGATTACGATAAAATGTCTCAAGAACATGATCATGATTCATACATGTTTTGTCTGTTTTGAAGAATGTTCATATATAAATTTGTCTTCTTGAGGAAGCGGCAAGCTGTAAAAATTTTCAGCCACAGAATTTGTACCTTTTTGAAGAAAAGAACATGACATATGTTTTTTTTGATTCACTCTTCCAGGAGTTGATCTTTTTCATACTGGAGAAGATAAATATTTTCTTGTTCTTGTAAAGGTTTGTTTGGTGAAATAATTATTTTTTACGTACCCCCCAATGATCATTGATTTTAAGCACTTATTCCTTTTTAATATTTTATCTTAATAATTTCTTGGCACTGTATGTATTTTCGCTTACACCTTTCCTTAGATTACAAGTTTAATCAATGCAATTATGTTTGTGTATGTTACAAAAATATGCATCAAGGGATATATAAAAAAAAAATATTGAATAAAGATGTAGAGGATGCACAGTTGTTTGGACTAGTTCTTCTCATAAGATTATCGATTTCATTTCAAATTTTAGTCCATGTTTGATCCTCATTTTTAATTTTTTTTAAAAAACTTAATTTCAACTACACATTCTCTCTATAAAATAATTTTAGACGTGGACTCAGCTCAAACGACAAAAAATGTAAAAAGTTTGGACAACTCCTAATAAAGTTAAGGTTTTCAGTTGGCTTTGACAGCTTCTGCTTAATTATATCACAAGCATATTCATATTCCTATTTATTTAAGCAGAATTTGAGTAAATTGTCTTCCTGCTGAGATTTTTATTTCCCTTACTGAATCAACAATTTTCAAGTGATATTTCAGGTGGGACCTTACCAATAAAATTATTTAATTATTATTTATTAAAGGGCCTCAATTAATTCCTTATGTATATTGAAAAATATTCCTTTGATAAGGTTGAATTAAAGTCAATAATTATTATTTTCAATGTTTATCATTCAAATTTTGTAGAACATTCATGAGTATACAATTAATTATGTCTCCACTTCATAATAATTTACATTTTCCTTTCTTTTTGGTGTTAATGATGTTAAACTATAAAAAATAAGTCTAATTTATCTCAATGCCATGATAATAAATTTCTTTCTTTTTAATGGAATATTGATGCCCTACATATTTTCGTCACAAAATTATTTTTCAGAGGCCAAAATATCACTCGAATATATGGAATGATAATTCAAAGCTTTAACGAAACACGTGAATTTTAAATTTTACACATACATTTTTCGTGAAAATAAAAATCGAATCTCAATAAAGCGACGTTTTCCAACTCTTTTGTGTAAGTCAATCTAGGAGGTTGATTTATACGAGCTATATCTTCATACAGAGGTAATTCTTCTCAAGAATTTGCTCAAAAGATAAATAACTATAAGAAAGAAAGACAAAATTTTAAAATTTAAATAATCAATGTAAGAAATCCTATGATGTGATTTACAAAAGTTAGTCTCAAGAATTACCTTTTGAACCATGCCCCATCATTTGAACCATTTGATGGGCACAAAAATTAACGCTTTGTTAACCTAAAGCCGCATGCTGTCTTTTCATGCATGCCCGCCTGAATTCTCCAATCCCAAATATCTATTCCTTCGCATGCGTCTACGACACTGCACAACTCACACTCGTATATAAATACTACACTTATTATATAGGAGAGACATAGATACGTGTACATTGCCTCGTTTAAAAACTTAAACAATTAAGAGATTGAACGCATTTATGATTGTATTCAAGATGCTCTTTATTTATGAAAGAAAAATGCTATTCATCCCCAATGAGGATGCATTCTCAATCTATGTGGCGTTAATGTGACACTAAATGATATGTGAAATTAAATAAGTCATTTAATTTCACGTATCATTTAACCAATTATTTACATCCACATAGACTGTGGATGCATCCCCACTCGGGATGGATAACATTTTTCATATTATAAAGAGTAAAAAAATTTATACATTCCAACAAACTCTTTATTTTGATTCTTCATTTTACTTTTATCGAGAAACGTTTATTGATTTTTCTTCATATTTTATTGAAAATAAATTTTTATACATCAATTGACCAATCAATTTATATGTGATTTTATGTAATTTATTAGATGCAATCATTATACATTAAGAATATATAGTGAATTTGTCTCTTTAAATTTGGAGAGTCAAGCTCACTCTCGATTTTAAAAAATTAAAATAAGGAGTTTCTTTGATTTATTTTTAAGCACCGACTCTCTAAAATAATGAGTATTTTGGAATTAGAGAAGCTCTAATTCATGTTTGGTACCTATTTTATTTTAATTTTATAATTAATCAAACTACTTTTTATTCACTCATTTCATATCATCAACAAGCACTACTCACTATTGTAGAAACCTAGATCCGGAGAGTTAAGCTCATGACATTGACGATTCATAGCTAGGCAATGACTTAATTAATTAGGGAACCTATCGAAATTATAGCGAAAACGAGTCTTCATAGAGAAATTGTAACTACTTATGGACTCGAACCTAATTCATGACCAGGATGATGCTTGGGTGAAACTCAGTGGAGGTTCGAATAAACCGATGTCAAAAGATCATCGGATTAATTTTGGGAATGAAATGCCACCCAAAATCCAGAGCTAATTAATTTTTTTCCAAAATGGGTTGAAGCGCAACAATTGACCGGACAATGATTCAATCTCACATCCCCCAAGTATGATTAATTGTGACTAAACCAAGAATTTGCAAAACGAAAATTATCGATAGTATATGACTTCATGAAATATGTGCCACACAGGTACTCACTCTGTTTAATATTAGCAATACTAATTTTAATAGATTGGTCCACCACGTGTAATTCACGTGATCATCTGGAGAATCCTTATCCTGTTGTTTCCTGAATGTTGGTTGCTTTATGGGCCCTTGTGTCTATTTATACCAAAATAATACTCTTGAAACCTTGTACTAAATCATGCCAAAAAATTCAAGAAATTTTGACAAAAGTAGCAGTAAAATAGAGTGGTTGATAATGTTTAGCATTCAATTTTTATAAAGTTTGAATGAGCAATAATTTTCAGTGATCCTGTGAGGAAATTGATGTGAAAATTGGGCCTCTTGAATCTAGTCCCATTGGGCCAAGATCTGGTGGGTAATGTTTTTGATGGGGCTAACCTTATTACGAAGCCCATATTATTATTAAACAGGCCCTCATGTACCAAGTTAAACAATACTGAAACTTCCGAGTTCATTTGGAAATATTCAGAAGTACGGGGTCAATTGTGCCGCATTCTGAAAGAATTAATCTATGGGTACATAAATGGACACATAATGGTTGACATAATGTGAGTGTGGTAGGACCCACGGTACTGTAGCGTGAGCCCCACCCCCACTCACATTATGTCAACCATTATGTATCCACCTATGTACTCCAAGCAATGCTCCATTCTGAAATTGTGCGGGACCCACATTCAAATAAAAAATAAGTGATTTTTCCACAAAAGCTCCTTCACTCGCTAAGTCAAGTCTATGTATGGTGCTCGTCGGGTCTCTTGTAATTGGGTTGTTACAAATTGTGTCGAGTATATTTTTACTTAAAAAAATTTTTCACTCACTGCTCGAAAGTGTGAATAAAGAAGAAAAATGATTTTGAGTTGCGTGTAAAATTTTGTCATGCAGAAAAAAATCGTGTTACATACCATATGAACTAGACAAGGAGGAAAAAAAAAAATAGGGACCCAAAATCTTGTCTCATGGCTTATGTCGGAAGTGTTGATGAGCTAATTATTCAATCAAATGGCATTTATAAGGCGTTAAATATGTGCATGCACATTTCTCAAAAAAATGAAAGAACCTATCCGAAAATAAAATAAAATTTTAGGGGCCAACAGACTTGAGATAGAGTGAAGGTCTTATATGCACATGTAATATGATTATTTAATCAGATTCAATCACGGTATTTCGGGCATCAAGCCATTCAAAATCCGACACTTCAGCAATACACATCCACTTTTGTTTCTTTCTCATACTATCTCGAACGCCGATGCATTGTATTGTGAATGTTTCAAAGTTCGAGGTATCGTTATTTAAATAAAGAGTAATGTTATTCATCTCGAATGGGGATGAAAACACAGTTTAGGTGGCTGTAAATGATAGGTGAAATGAAATGTGATTTAATTTCACCTATCATTTAATGCCACATTAGCTCCACCTAGACTGTGTTTTCATCCCCAGTGAGGATGAATAGCATTACTCTTAAATAAATAGTCCTACCACATGTACTTACATGACCATTCCATTGAAGTTTTTTTCTCATTGTTCATCAGAGAAGTTTCTATAGTCCTATATCCACTCATGATGCAATGAGCTCATATCCTATGTGTTTACACTACCAAATAACGTGTCGACATGTTAGTAGCCACCAACTCATGAAATAGAAGGTTGAGTTCGAGAGGCAAAAGCCATACCAGAGAAGTATGGTAAAATACCTAAGGTTAGAGACGAGATGGAATATGCTATAAGTGTTGAGCGAAGGCTAACATGACTCGAAAGATACTCAACTAAGCACCAAACTACGACATTCAAGACTTGATTACTTAGAAAATTCAAGACACGTCTGCAAAGTCTCAAACCCTTTTTCCTCAATAAATCCACTATCATCCAATCAAGTTGTAAACACGACTTCTTAGAAGGTCACCACAATTATCGGATTAAGTGATAAATCACCCAATTATCAAATGTGACCGCCCACGAGGCGAACCCGACACACATGACCAAGTTTACACCTCCAATCATACATAAGAAAAAAAAAATCATAACATTTCTATTTTCTTTCAATAGAGTAACTCCGATCTCAAGATACAGTTGATACGGTTATTTAATTAAGTTCGACAATGTCTATTCTAGTACACTATTACATTTCAGCTTGGAAAAACCTTCATCAAATCCTTTCTCATGACAATTGAAGATCCTTTTTTAGATTACTTCTTACCATGTAACACATGTACTGCTAATTCACTGGGAAAAATATATTTACTTAACCTCACTCTCCTCTTTAACTGATCAAACCTCATTTTCCTCGTCACATCAAGTTCATTGGAGACCTCGAAAATCTAGAGTTCCTCACTTTATCGAGTGACGAAAGTTTTAGAGAATGACTGGAAGAATTAATGTCTCCAAAACCTTGTGAGAGTGACTGTTCTCAGCATCTTTCAAAAAAGAAGCAGCCACAATATCTTTGCCTTCAGAATTCGAACATTTGAGAAATTTTCCACCATTTTTGTTATCTGAGCTGGCATTTCTTTTGTGGAACCATTTCAGGGTTGGTTTAGGCCGCGCTTCACTTATTGCAATGGCTATGTCATTTGGGAATAAATCTCCCAATACAAAAGCATGAATAATTGTTGTTACGAGCACTGATGCAACAGAAAGGGTAGCAACAGAACAGAGGATAACGGTTAAAATTTTGGTTACTATGTTGGTAACCACGATTGAGTATCTAATCGTTGCAATGGCAGCTCCAGTCATAGGGAAAGTGTAAGCCCACCAAGCCAATGAGAACCTGGAGATAATAATTAGGAAAATTTGAGATTTGACTAAAATAGAATGGGCAGATAGCTTAAAATGATGCTACTAATATGAAGTTAAAATGTACCTGAAGCCTCGGAAGAAATTAATGCGGACAGCCTAGAGAGAACGAAAGAAAATGAAAATAAATTAGCAATGTATGCCTAGTGGAGCATGTTATGATTTAACCTCAATCCCAAATTCTGAGAAATAATAAAACAAAAAGAAATTAGAAACAAACAAGAACACAGATTTATAGTGGTTCTCCCACAACATTAAGAGATACTTTGATTGGCTAGTTTTTCATTTTTCGTTCTGTAGTCCAACATAGCATCTACTAATTCTGCCATGGATATTGGAGCAAAAGGGTTCTCCTTAACTTTGCAACCACAATTTTAGTGCATTTCATCATCTCGTGTCTTCGATTAAATGATGACGTGAGTACTTAGATACAAGGCTCGCAGTTAAGGTTTAGAGAGACTAACCAGAGAGAAATAAAGGAACAAGGCAATGAAGTAGGCAATTCGTGCTCCATAGTTGAAGGACCCTTGAATCCTCGCCCATGCCATTGAGGCAACACTAGGTGCAGCAACGAACAGAAAGAAAACCGGGTGGAGCTCCTTCGGGAGTGTCACATTTGTTGGAAGTCTCTGGTAGAGAGTTACAAATAAGACTACGTAATGAGCCAATCCAACAGCAAAGAAAAAAATAGGACCTTCTTTTAGCCCCATTGATGCACCAAGCAATGACCCAACAAAGTTCCCAACAATTGAGAGATGACTCGAGGGATTGGCCACCTTAGAAAGCCTTCGCTGTCCTCCCAACATCCACTGTCCATAGATCTTAAGCTCGAGGCAAAAGACGGGGGCCATAAGAATGTACCAAAGAGACTGGGGCAGCTTTTGAGAAACTGATGGAGGAACTCCGAGGGCCAAGAACAAAAGGGCAATACACGGAGCAAAGAAGAAGTTAACAAGAACTGGATGGTAGTACTCACGACGAACTGCCTCGAAGTAAAAAATCACTTTCAGACAGTAAGTAAAAGAGACAATTGCCACTAGAGCGAGAGATGCGCACCACAGGACCAGATTTATGTCCGGGTTTACATGGAGGAACCTAGTAGAAGCAGAAGTCGCCAGGGCTTTCCACATTATGGTTTGGCTGCTAATGCCAAGACAAATACCAAAGGAAGAGATAGGGAAGCGTAGAAGGAACGGCCATTTCTTATCTTTTGGAAGAAGTATTTCTTCAGAAGCCTGTTAAGGGAAAATATGACTGCAATTATGAGGAAAGAATATGAAACAATTCAACCAAAAAGTCGACAAGTAAAAAGCACACACCCGCAAGGTATCCAATTCCGGCCCCTCTAATGCATCAAAGTAACGGTCTGCTGGTAAAATTTCAACTTCTGCAGGTCTCTGAGTCTCAAGGTCTAGCTCAGTTTCCCTACACTTTCCACTCAAATTTGATATTTGCCCCTCAAGTTTTCCCGACCATGTCTTGAAAGAGTCGAATCTTTTATCCTTATGCAAATCGATCTTAGGATTCTTTGGTGGAAGGTCTGGATCATTGGGAGATTTTCCACTAGAAATGGCCTCATTAACTACTTGACCTTTTGGAATCGGCTGAGAATAAAATTTGGTCTGTCTATTATGTTTGGATGCAAAGGTGGATCTGGGAATATCATCGCCGATAATTGCTCCATCATTATATTCAAAGACACCCCTTTTTGTGTTATGTAAATGAACTCCAACGGGAGAAGTTGGCATGCTAATGGAAACAAAATGCATCCTTTGAGGGTTAGAAAGATCATTTTGCCATTCTACACCAACTGTTTCAGTTCCCTGAGAAGATTAATTAAAAAGTATTATTCCTGTATTTAGTGTTGATAGGTGTTTTTTTAGCCCATGACACGGGTGCTCAGATCTGAATAATTGCAGAGAATTAATAAAATTACCTTAGGCGACGAGTCAGAAAGATGAAAGCCATTTGATTTGAATCCATCGTTTACATCATCAGGCTGTTTAACAGCATCGAAACCAGCCACTTCACGTGCAGTACTAACTTTGATCAATGATGGAAGAACTTCAGGGGAATCGTTCTTCGCCCAATGATTTTGTTTGCAGTCCACCATAACAATGCAGTTATTCCAATAGACGAGTAAATTTCTGATAAGGTATGATTTTAATAATACTACTACAGAATTTCAGGTCATCGATGAAAATAGAATTATACCGTTTCCTTGGACAGATGCTGGCCTTAGAAACCAGAAAATTGACAAAAACCCAAAACCTGCTTGAGAGTAGGTTGTTATTCTTTGATTACTTGAAATAGTTTTTGAAGATGAAATCAGATACCACTGCACTAAATAACATAGAAGTGTGCGTCTGTCTTTAAATGCTTTGACGAATAAGCAGAGAACGGGATCCAAAGTTGTATATGAATTGAGTTTTAAGTAAATCATTTATTTTTTAAGCAATTTCCTCTTATACTAAACCAGCCTACCAAATTTTGCACTCATCTCTTATTATAAAATCATCCAATTTGCTAAGAAGTTGAACATTGGCCAAAACAAGTAAAAAAATTGCCAGTTGTTACAATGCAAAATCATCACTGACTCACCTCAAACTCCCGTTTCTCGCTATTTGCTAATGACAGAAAGCAATCCAGACCTCCAATGGTTTCAGTCAAGCAACCTACAAAAGCACTCAGCTCAAACTCAAGATCCAAACTTAGCTCGATCACGAAAACAGTTTGTTCTTCTCGTTATGGCACGGACAGTTAAAAAATCGAGATCAAAGTTCTAATGCTATATACAACCTTGGTTTTTAGATAAAGAACACATAACTTTCAGCTACAGGAAGCAGCATTTATATAGAACTGAGCATGCAATGTTCTTGGAAGTACCTCATCACGCCACTAAACATACAATAGATATGAAAAAGACATATTGATTAGACTATGAAAAAATGTATCAAACAGAACAAAAAGATAGTGGTTTGTCTATTGACTAGAATATAATAGGTGTGATAAGCGGCTACACGTTTTGACATTTGGTCATTGCACTAAACAACTAATAAGCAAAACGACATATCCAGAAAATATTGAATTACGAAAATAAGAATACAACTACTGATTTTCACATCACCAAGATTTCAGGCAACAAAACTTTTGGACACGATGCACATTTGGTGTGCTTAAAACCACCTTTTTCGGTTCTTTTCTAATCCGACGAGACATAATGCACAAAAAAAATCTAAAAAACATCTAAAACAGAACCAGACTGTGATATGAAAAAGACCTCTAGTTTACAACATTGAATTCAATGGTAAGAACCCAATCCATGCTTAAATTCTGAATTTCACAAAACATGACTGCACAAATAATAACTCAGGAAGCAAAATAAGTGATTAATCGTATTATTGAGTTTTTTCAGCTTCTTCGTTTTGCTGTTAAAGAATAGACAGACACCAAATACTCATTTCACAATTTTCCAAATAATTAGCCAAGAAAATGGTAAACTACTAAAAAATTCACCAATGTCAAAAGGATTAACCAATACGTTTGAATATTAGTATAATATCATCATCAATAAACACATCAAGTCAAATTCGTACTGCCCTACTCACATAAAGTCATGCAGACATGTTTATATAGAGAGAGAAATCAAAATTTGTAAAGACAGTTTTTTTTTTTTGGAGGGGAGGTGGAGGTAGAGGTGTCAATCCGGGTTGGCCCGCCAACATATGAGCCCGATAACGACCCGCGTGAAAACCCCGCTACGGGTTCCGGGTCGGCCCACAAATTTTGGACTACAACCCAAACCCGTTCGTTGACCCATCCGGGTCGAGCCCATATGGGTCGCGGGTGGCGGTTATTCCGATTTGGCTCGTATTATTGTATAAATAAAATTATAAAAATATAGAATTTTTTATACTTATAGCCAAAAAAATTTTTTTTGTTAAACGTAAACTAAGAATTGAACAAAATGATAAATTCATATTTATACCAAGAAATGTTTACATAGAATTTAAATTTAATGTTACATGAATTATTTATAACTTTGTAAAGTTAAATTTAACTTAAACAAATAACAACTAAATGCTTCATATTTATACCAAGAAATATTTATATAGAATTCAAATTTAATATTACATGAATTATTTACAAGTTTACAAAGTTAAATTTAACTTAAACAAATAACAACTAAATGTATTTCTAATTAATATTATCAAATATTTATAGCATAAGTACAACGGCTCTCTCTCTCATTTTTTTCAATTTTTAAATTTTTTTTTTCACGGGCCAACGGATTAACCGCGACCCCGTGAAGGTGCAACCCCTCGAAGCCCGCGGGTCGCATTTTCTTGACCCGTGAACCGCCCACTCGGGTTAAGGGTAGCCCGCGGTCCCGGGTCGATCCGGGCCGATTTTCATAGGTTTGGCCGGCTCGTCCGTCTTGACACCTCTAGAGGGGTTTGAAGACGAAAATACAAATTGTGGGGCTCCATAGATGAGCCCACCATTGATTTTCGGCATTTCGAGGACATGCCGTAGTCTCGTTCGGAGTTCTTTCTTTTTTCACTTTTTTAATGTTAAATTCACTACAGCTCAAAGTTGGTGACATGATTTTCTTATATTGAATATTAGTGACCGAATTTGTTAGTAAATCGAAATTAAATGATTTAATTGCATGGATTAGTGACCCGCAATTCACTTAACCCATCCTATTAGGTTTGTTAGGGCATATGGTCCATGCATTACCAGGGACTGAGATAGGACTAAAATAAAACAAAATGGAGTAACATGTAAAAAAATATTAAACTCTGAATGGGCTGGAGCTGACCTGAACTTTGAAGCGTCTTATCATCATCTAAGCCTATAATCAAGGATAGATTTCAAAGAAACTACACAAAAAGTATAAATCTGCACCAATTTACATTAAACTATGCCCTTTTTGGGCTCCATTTTTCCAAATTATAATGAGGGGAAGAATAATTTTTTGGAGAATATGTGGTTAAAAAATAAGAATTTTTTTTTAGATTTACGTGCAATATTATTTTATTGGAGAATGTGTGGTTGATAAGAAAATTGAGAAAAATGAATTTTAATTCAATGAATATTATTGTTTTCAAGTATTTTTTAACTTAACGAATTAACTATTGATTTATAGGATGAATGATGACGGTTAAAAAAAAAAGATAAATTAAAATTTTATTAGTTTAATCATGTCGAATACTGACGTACCGAGGTGGAAGTCATTGCCCTCGGGCCTCGGGTGATTAGAAACCTGATACCTAACAAAAACAAGTTGCGGTAGCATTCGACAAGTAAATTAGGTTTCCATTATTCATAGTCAAAGGTGAAGTGGAATCCATTAGCCCCATATTAAAGTTGGGATTTGGGATTGATAAAGATGTATTGTTATGAAAAAAGCGAATTAGGGCAAACAAACAACAACCCATGAGCATGTCGTTTTGGAATTTGGACATGCATTGAAAAGATAGGATTAAAAGCAAACTATTCATGCACTATAACTTGTTAGTTGTTAATTTCGGTTTTCGATATTGGATACAGAGAGAGACAATCAAAGAGGTTTAAATCGAGTCAGATCGAGACTTGTAGTCCACTTGGCAATTTTAAATTTTGTAGGAATATAATAAATAAATAAATAAATAGCAAAGTCAGCCCGACTCAATTAGAAGTTTAACCTTGGATCAAGTGGTCTAGCTTGAAATCAATGAAATGGGTTAGTATTTTTTATCATGAAATTACCTCGAAAATAAATTAGATGAGCCTCACATTGTTTTGACTAAAGGGAGGTTGGTCCAATGGGGTAAAAATGAAAGTCAAGATTAACTTTTCTTTTCCTTTTTCCTTTTATAGTTTTTTTTTCCTTATATAGTGGAACTATTTAAAAAGTCATTTCCTAAAATAAAGTAATTTTATTGATTTAACATCATTTCGATGACAAAATACTATTAAATTGGAGCAAAAGAAATAGGTTGAATAAAAATATGTGTAGGAAAAGTCCCAAACTTTTGAAATACTAGCAGACTTTTTTCAAACCTTTGATTTGTTGCAGCCGTCACTCATCACATTTCCAAATGTTGCAGGTGACACCCGAACCACATCATGCCATGAAGATCTCCTTATCTATCTTTGTATTCAGATCACATATACATTGTGTAATAATCAATGATGTTTTTGAAGATTAAGGATAAAAAACCCCCCACCTGAATTAATAGACAAAATGCATCAGTATTGCAATCTAAATAAAACATTATATTCGTTTTCTAACAATGTTGTCGTGACTCTGTCAGACCCTAAAAAAAGAGATGTTAACATCCGTTCAAGCCACGATGTAACCAGCGTTATCTCTTGCTGTAACCCACGTCCGATTTTTGTATCTCTTGGCATTTTTTTGTATATGCGTAACACCCCCAAATCTAAATACCTAGATCTGAAAGTATTATCATTTTATTTTCTCTTAAAATCATAAATGCGGAAGCGATTAAAAATTTCTTTAATATAACGAACACCATTGACTTCATTTATAAAAATGTAGAAAACTTTTGCACTTAAATGAAAAAGAAAAACAAAAAAATTAAATGTTAAACTTTATTTTTCAAAAGGAGTCGATATTTGAATGTACTAATACTGAGTCCATCGCACCACAAGTAGTTGTCTCAAATCATTGCCTTCATCATCTGAAAATAGGGAGGGATAACGTGGAATGAACTAACGCTCAGCAAGCAAACCTAATATATATAATGTATGCTTATGATATGCACATAAATTACTTTAAAATAAGGATTTCTCAATATTTATCCAATTTTCTTTCATTTCTTTAAGAACTTAACATTGATGTCATGAGCTTACATGATGTATCGCCTAACCAATCAGAATGCAGCAGACCACGTTATTTGGAACCCATCGAATCTACTGGTAGTACTGCACACCGTTTAACATTAATATTAACATTGAACATTGATTGAGTGCGCCGATTCCCCACACCTCACTTCTCACTCACACTTTAATGGCATAGGCATACATCTTGTAATAAAAATATTTGGGATACATATTCTTTTAAAAACATTCATTCTCACGTTGACATTTAAAAAATCTTTATTT